TTTAGGTAATCCAGATCTTCTGTGTGATGGATACAGTAAGTCCGACCAGGATGGGGTCAATAGGTGCGTTTACCGGGTAATGACCCTTGTTGCGGTACAATCTGCTCGGACCAACGTGTTTCTCTGATCCAGCAGTTTGTTTAGAGATTTGTGGGAGTGTTTACCAGCATGGGCCGAGGAATTCCAGGTCAAGAGAGCGTCCTGTACAGAGAAACTACAACTGAATTGATCCTGACGCTGACATCAAAGCGTACCCGCGCCATCCAGCTCCACTAGCTGAAAGCAAATATTTATCCTGTGGTGACGTAAAAGAAGTAAAATGGAACAGATCCCTGGCAGGTGAGTGTATTTTATCTGACAAGAGGGCAATTTCTGAAATGCTGCTTAACTTTAAATAAAATTCTTTGATTAAAAGGTTTTCTTTTGAATGTGCAACACTAGGAATAAGTAAGCAGCTTGGCACACAGAAAGCTTTGGTGATACATCGTCTCTGCCATCTGTTCTCCTTCCTGTTGGGTTGCATCCTGCGCCAGGGCCAGTGTCCAGTCCAATCCAAGAGCTTTTCCAAGCTGGTCCCACCTGGCACAACTGTCCTCAAAATTCTCACTGTCACAGACGGTCTGAAAAGTGTGGAGGCTGTCATGACTCAGCCTAGATGACTGTGGCACTGAAACACACTGCATCAAACAATTACAGAGCAGACAGCCTTAATCACAGATTAATGAAGACTTTGTGTGCTTCGGTTTAACGCCATTTTCTTGGAGGCCTTTGACGCGGAGTAACAATCTTTACGGTAATTGCAGCTAATATTTTAAGGTGGTAAATAGTCACTGCTGCTGTCAAAAGCATTTACAGTATGTAGCAGAAACCTCCACCAGCCTATGACTTACTCAACCGCTGATTCACACAAACCACGGAGATCGTGTTCGGATTCAGGGTGCTTTCTGTGCGGCCAAAAGAGCACGTTAAAATGGAAGGTAATTTGATTTTACCTAAATTATTTATGCAAAGTGAGTAAAAAGTAGAAGATGACATGCCTAATGGAAAAGTCTGCGCTTCAGTCAGTCGTTTCACCAGAATTCAAATCAAGTCAAACATCAAATGTGGTTTGAGGTCATCAAAATGAAATTTTTTTAAAGCAAAGCATATTTGAGCTACCTAGAAATAATCCATCTGTGTACTCAATGCAATCTGCTGGGTTCCTTATATAGGAGACTTTTCGCTGATGAACTGACCTGTATTGGAATGTTTACTGTGTGAAGTGCCTTGAGACGACTCTTGTTGTGATTTGGCGCTATGTAAATAAACTTGAATTGAATGCTTGCGTTTGGCTTTTACAGTCATAGGCACAGTTTTCAAGTAAATTGCATTTATTCATAATTCTTCAAGATGAAACTGCAGAAAAACTGGAACCCTATATCAGCCTTCAAATGCCAAAACCAGTGCATCTGTAGCAAAAGCACCAATGGAACAAACGCCACAAAGGTTGCATCTTCATCTTTACTACTTTTTAGTTCGGCCCACCGAAGTGAGCTTGCTCCGAAGAGACAATGTGCGATTGACCCCCCCCCCCGTGGGGAACCAAGTGGAGCTCTATGAATAACTCCCCTCGCAGCGCTGAATGGCACTTTGCTTTCCACCAGTATTACTCAGTTTACACCCCCAACATGGCAGGATAAGCAGCGTGCTCACGCAGGGAGCTGAGCGCCCCTCTCCAAGCTGCCAGTCTGACAAAAAAAAACCTGTTAAACAAACAGAAAGTCCACTATGTTTATTTAGACGTTAGAAACTAAGACATGTCAAGGCTTTATCAGCGTGCTCTGCTGTGTTTTACAAAATGTAAATGATTGACCACAGTAGATCATGATGCTGCAGAAAATTTACCAGCATTTACTTGTTGCATCTGGTTTCTGCTGAATAACTTTAGAAAATGACACTGTACACAAAGAGTATCACTCAGGGAGGTGTCGACCAAAGCACGTAACTACAGAGGTCACTTTTGTCTTCTAAGAAGCCAAGTCAGATAAAAGGGTTAATCCTGCTCAGCCTTGGGAATAGTGCTGTGGTAACTGGCTAAAACCAGAGAAACTCAGTCATTTTAGTGTCAATGGGGGCCAGACACGTAGATATGAGAACTAAAGACTTTGGTCATTCGTTTAATTAGCAAAACTAAACAAAGAATGAATAGAATTTGCCTGAAAGATTGTTTGCTGAGTAACCAGATGTATTTGGAATAAGCATCATCCTAATTAGATATAGCACCTTAACTTCCTAAAACACACACATGTTGTGTTCAGAGTCAGAAAATCTAATAACGCACTAAAAGCCTAAAAATTTAAATAACACCTTTTGATCTTTGAAAGAGCCCAATGAATAGATGGGAGGGAAAATGTAGACATATACATGCTTAAACAGTTTTAATCTTCTCCCAATGACTATGTTCTAATGGTACGAGACCACAAGCATGACCTTTTGTACGTTCTCTATAATTCTAATCCTGGCTAGAGTACGGTGTACATTATTAGATCCTCAGCTCTCAGGAAAACTTTGTTAGACATCTGATCAGTGTCAGACATGAGGTCATAGCAGGAAAAGCATCAGGTTTCATTCAAAAACTCATCAGACTTCTGACTAAACTGTGTCAGAAAAAAAAGTCTTAAAACAAATTGTCATCAGACAAAAGGGAATCAGGAAAAGCACCGTCAGATGAATAGGACTTGGGAATGTTCCAGTTGGACAAATCAGACTCAGGAAAACTGCCATAAGACAAAGAAGATTAAGGAATACTGCTATCATAGGAATGCTACTGTCAGACAGATCGGATGCAAAAATATTGCTATCAGAGGAATTGGACTCAGGAATACTGCTATCAAACAAATTAGACTCAGGAAAACAGCCATAAGCCAAGTAGGATTAAGGAATACTGCTAACAAAGAAATCGGACTCCGAAATACTACCGTCAGATAGATTGGATGAAGGAATGCTGCTGTCAGACAGATAAGATGCAAAAATACTGCTATCAAAGGAGCTGGACTCTGGAAAACTGCAATAAGACAAATCTGATTAAGGAATACTGCTTTCAAAGAAATCACACACAGGAATACTTCCGTCAGACAAATTGGATGCAAAAATATTGCCATCAGAGGAAGTGGACTCAGGAATACTGCTGTCAGACTAATCAAACTCAGGAATACTGCCGTCAAACAAATTGTATTCAGGAATACTGCTGGCAGATGAATCGGACTCAGTAATGATGCCGTCAGATGAGTAGGACTTGGGAAAACCACCATCAGACAAAATGCTCTCAGATAGACGAGACTCGGAGAGACGCATCCTGCAAGTGGCACCATTGTTCGGTTAGAGCCAAACAGTTGTCCAAAAACGGCATCAACATGCCACAGCGGCAAAAACCCAACACCGTGGTAAGTTTAATGACTTCTCCCTGTACTTTACTACAATCATACTGTACTAATTGGGATAAAGTTGTGTAATTTACATCACAATAAATAATGTTAGGAGGCTGAATCCTACGTTAAGCCATTGAAGAGCGTTAGACAAAAAGTTAGCCGTTACTCGACCGTTACGCTTCCATTTTCCTTAGTTTTTAGCTGCGCAAATAAAAGACATTTGTGATGTTTGTACAAAATGCAACAATTTAAATGAAAACAAGCAAACAAAAATAAAAAAAAGCACCTGAAAATGGCGCCCCCTTGCAGGATGATCCTCTTTGAGACACTTCTATGTGAGTGTTTCATCTGACAACGTTTTTCATGAAACCTTCGTTTCTGACACCGTTGAGACAGACATCTGTAGAGTTCCTGGATCAAACCTGATGCTTTATTCTTTATGGTCTGGTGTCTAACGACGTTTTCCTGAAAGCTGAGGTTGTCCTAAAACGTACACCAAAAATAAGTTGATGACACCAAACAAGAGATCAAAAATAGGTCTTAGATCAATATTCCCAATGATGAAGCAGCAAGAAAAAACTTCTGCACTTCCGGATGACAAAAATGTGTCATCTAGCAGCACATGACTCAAACGTAGCCGCTCCAATAGGGCGAGAAAAGAAAGAAACTACAACCGCTTCAAATTTCATCAGCAACCCAGACAGCCTAAAACAGAGAGCAGCCATAATAAATCTTTCACCGTGTGGCTACAGACTCAGTATGACTTCCTGCCGAGAGAACACACTGTGATTAATTTATTGTCAGACCTCACTGAAACTATGTGTCTCTAAAAGAAAAGGTTTACACCCTTCAATGGGAGGGCAACCATTTTTTTTAAGAGTCTGCTCTTGTGCAATGTTTTGGACAGTTTCTAAGACACATGACTGCCTCTGGTGTGGCCTTACGACAGATGTTTAAACGCAGCTGGATCCAATTCTACAAATCGAACACAGAAAACTGTGATTTAGTTTGTAAAAAATCTGCAATATTCTGATTGTCTTTTCAGAGAGAGAAAAAAAATTTCCCCCAGTCAGTCAGAGCTCAAGTATTTTCTGATGTGTTTAAAAGATCAAAAAGCCAAACAGAAAAAAAAATCCTGTTGAGTCAGGAGACGCATAAGTCACATTCTGCAGGGAGAAGTCAGATGACTGGGGAAGGTGATGACAGCAATTGGTCAGTTTACTAAATTACCATGAGGGAGGGTGAGAAACAGTCAAGGTTTTCTGTCAGGTTGCGTCAAACTGGGAGCATCTCATGTGCTGCATTTGTAAAAATGAAGGCACAGGACGGAAGAAATAAAAATAATCCATAATCTAAGCAAAAGAGCCATTACAATAAAACTACTGAGCACCACGGACAAGCCAAAAGCCCCCCCGGAGGGGCGTTTCACTGATACCACATGAGATAAAACCATAATAAAGCACAAAGAAGTCCACTGTTAACCACCACAGACACAAAAACTCCCCACTTGATAAGTTTATCCAGGAAATGCCCTTTTTCTTTTTAAATGTAAACCCCATTCACTCCAAAGGAGACGAGGATGCTTGAACGTACCTTCCATCCTGCAGAGCTGTTGCTGTCTCCCTTGTCTTTGAAATAAGGGACACTCTTCACCATCCAGTCATAAATCTGAGACAGAGTTAATCTGTTCTCTGGAGAACTTTCGATAGCTTTGGTTATGAGGTCTGCATAAGACATATTCCCCCAGGCGTTCCTCCGGGAGGAGCTGCTCTTCCTCTGGGCAGCGGCTGCTGCAGCGGCCGCGGAAGGGGACGAGCCGACCGGGGTGGAGAGCAGAGGCACCTGCTGCTGCTGATGCGGGAGTTGCGGGTTCGGGTGCTGCTGCTGATGCTGATGGTGCTGCGGAGCTTGCTGGTGGGCGCAGGTCTCCTGACACTGAAACTCGTTGCACAGGATGACGGGCTTCTCCTCTGGAAAGTCCTCGTTCTCCTCCAGCAGGCTCAGGTTGTTGATGAACTCCGCGTTGCCGCTGCCGGGCTCCTGCTTCACGGAGGGTACCGGCGACGATGTGTTGGAGTCGCCCGGGTTGATGAACTCCGGCCGGGGCAGGGGCCAAGTGCACGAGCGGGGCCGCGACAGGGGCTCAAAATCCGGGTCGATGTCCACCAGGTGTGGCTGCTGCTGGGGCGCTTCCGCCATGGTCAAGAGGTAAACTGACAAAGGTGTTACAAAGTCATGAAAGAGTGAGAAACGTAACAAACGTGAGTAAACAGAAGAAAAGTCTGAACGGGAAAGGCGCGCTCCGTCTGAGCGTCACATCCCAAGCCGGTAAAAATAAAAAACTGCGCAAAGTGAAATAAAAACGTGGCTTCTGCGCGTTTTTTTCCGCTCAGAAGAAGTTGAGAAAGAGGCAGCAGAGTTTTGTTTTTGTTTTCCAGCCGTAGTGATGTTCCGTCTGTGACCCGTCCAGCCTGTTGACTCCGTGGTGTGCAGCATGTGAGGGGGACTTACTGGAAGTCTCATGTGTCAACTGGCCCCGCCCACAATATGACCGACAGCTAAAAACAGCCAATCAACGACCGCAAAAGTTTTACGGGGGGGGGGGAATTTTTGTTTTCATTCTGAATAAAATTAGACCACAGGTATTTTTACCAGTGCTTCTCCAACAGCCTAAATTTAGAGTTTGGCTGAAAATGACGCAGTATTTTAAAGAAGGCTCTAAATAACACAAAAATCATGTTTTTTTTCCACATTAATGAATTTTAATTCAGATTTAGCTTTTTATTTAAAGTTAAAGTCCCACAAGTCATCATCACACACTGGTGAAATTCTTTGCAAAATATTAGAAACTCAGTTAACAGAGCATTTGAATGTCAATCTAAGTGGTAAAACGGGAAATGTGTCAAATAATTGTTTGGTTTAAAATATGTTTTTTGTTTATATTTCAGAAATTAAAAAGTAAACAAATTCCTAAGGAGCAAAGCTGACACGATTGCACTAATTCACCATCCAGTGCTAATAGTCACAACTAGAGAAAAACCCCTTTTGCAACACATCCCTAACATGTAATTTTAATTCTGTTTTGGCCCCACATTCTGTGCAAGTCACACAAATCGAGTAGTTTTCGATGAACATTTCAATATCCACCTGTAAATATTCTGTTTTCATTAGCCAATAATATTTATCGTCATGTCCCTGTGTATTTCTGGACAGCCTCTTGCAAGTCATGTTTTTCAAATAAACATAATTTACAACAGTACAGGAGGCTTGGCATAGATTTTTTTTCATGTTCTGGAGCCAAACACTGTATTGTTAATGTAGAAACTATAAATAAATAAATAAATATAAATAAATACATTAGGAGGAGATTTAAAACTCAAATGCATGTTCATTTGTCGGATGTTTCACAATAACCTACAAGTCATTGAAAAAAAAGATTATTATGAAAAATATTTGATAGAGTATCACTGGAAAAAAAAAGAAAAACCTTTAATTTACAGCTAGTGCAAGCTCCAGTGACCAACTACCTGCTCTTCAATCAGACCTGAAATGAGTCCCAAAACAGCTGGAGTATAGTGACATCTTGTGGTCAATAACGTGTATTGTAACTGAAATTTCTACCATACTAAACGAGTAACTAACTGAATGTATACGTCACCTTTAGGTCACGTGTGCAAAAACAGCTCATGCCTCATGCATGTTTTTTTTTTAATATACTATGTATAAAAACAAAGAAATCGTATTAGTAACTATATAATGACTATAAATGCATTGTTATTTTTTTGTTTTCCATTCCCTGAAGGTAAAAATGAACTACTGTGCACTTTAAAATGTGATATAAATGCAATTTTTAATTATGGCATCAACATATTTGTAATCTTTTTTATTGTGCTGGGTCAACTTTACTTTCACATGGAACCAGTTTTGCAAGACCTTCTACCACAAAGATTAAAGTAAACAAAACGATGATAAACACTGTGCTCGAGTTTCTGTGAGCATCACATTTACTGTCAACTGAGCTGTGCTGGTGTGGGTTAAAATTAGAACACCGTTAGAAACTAATTACTTTCATGTGTCTCAACCATCGTCTCAACTTCTTATCTCATAAAAACAAACTATTAACTCTCTCCAAACCAACAAGGCACAATTATTTGAAAAGAAAACCAAAAAACTATTTAATGCAGCAAAAAATATATATATTAAATTTTTTTATTTTTTAAAATCAGTACTAAGTTCTACCAAGTAGGTAAAATAATGGGTGGCTTAATTTTAAATAAAGAAAGAAAAGATCACCAGGGGGTCACGTCAATAAATCTGAATATTTCCGACTATATTTTAACAGATTTAGAGTTTTTTGACATTATTCTTTAATGTGACAAAAATTGGAGATACTATGAAAAATCTTACTCTTGTAAATGAAAAAAATTCCCTCATTGACAAAAAAAAAAACTCTTCCTACATCGTCTTTGATGTGTTGCAGTTGAGTCTGCGCACTAAAACGTGCGCTCGAAAGAGTTCCACGGCTCTGAGAAGACGGAAGTGGAGTTTGTATAGGAGACTGGACACAAGGAAACGTGACGTGTTCTCCCTGGACCGAGATGCTCATGAGGATATTTAAAAGTCTGTTTTAGATTTCAACACACGGCGAAAACTGCGGCTTTGAAGTCAGATTATCTCCGAGCTAATCCATTTTAAAGTGGATTGAAGGTGAGCATGATGATGAAATGTGGACCAAGCTGTTCTTCAAACACTATTATCATCAGTGTCAGGCCTTAAATGAGTAAATATTTATTCTGAATTGTTTTCAAGGGTGTCCTTGTGGAAAATAACAAAGGTTAAATATCTACAAACGTGTTTACATGTAAACAGGTTTCATCATGGCTCCACACCCGGTAGTCCAGGCTCTCATTGACTTCTCAGCTGGAGCAGCAGGTAAAAATATCTATAGCATTTTTATTTGGAGTTGAGATAAAGTGTCATTAACAGCATACATACCTGTCAGACACGTGGTTTATTTACATTTATTTTGTAAGGAATGTTATGGAATTTGTTTTCTACTAGTCGATAAAATATATTTCCCAAAATAGAAAATGAAAAAAAAATCTGTCTATTACAAATTACAAATGAAATCTTGTGTGTGTGTGTGTGTATATTTATATGAAAATTCAGTAAAAGTTTGCATTAAAATTCTCAATATGATTTTTATTATTTTACATTTCATAATTTGATTCATAATTCCCAGTTTAAGAGATAAAAGTTGTTTTTGTGGCAGTTTTTCATAACTTCGATGTTGTTTTGTTTTTGTATAAAATAAACAAAAAACAAAATAAAGTCCATAAAAACTCAGAGTCAACAAACATCTTCATGTTGATTTTATTGAAGCCACATGTTGACACACGGTTTTTCATCTTTGTGAACTTAAATACGTTCTCTCCTTCAGGTGGCATAGCGTGTGTGATGAGCGGTCAGCCGTTTGACACCGCCAAAGTGAAGATGCAGACGTTTCCCACCATGTACCGTGGCTTTGTCCACTGCTTCATCGCCACTTTCAGACAGGTGGGACTCCGAGGGCTCTACAAAGGCACAACGCCGGCCCTCATTGCCAACGTCAGCGAGAATGCGGTGCTCTTTTTGAGTTATGGGCTGTGCCAAGATGTGGTCCGCTTGTTGACTGGGACGAGTAAAGGGGCTGATCTCAGGTGTGACGCTGATGTTTCTGTAAAACCTTTAAAATTGACACTTTAACACTTTTTATAACAGATTAATATTTATTGAATGAGTGTTTGTCTGTTTGAATCATTTATATAATGCTTGAAATAAAAGTATAAAAACAAAAATAACTCAAACTGATCCAAAAATCAGAGAGAAAGTAGTTTAGTTCAGATCTTGAACCATTTCTAAGTCAGGCCATTACAAATATGTCCGGTTTTAATATAACTTTTAATCGTTTGCAAGTTTTTTCAAAGTAAAACACATTTTAGACTTCGTACCATCCAGTCCACTGGGCAGTCTCATCCAACTTCTTTATTGCTAAAGATTATTATTCAGGCAACATGTGATAAATCAGTAATTTTATCAACTCATGCCTGAATTTCTGCTCCTGCTCCTTTTGAGCTGCTTGGAAAATCTACAATCACAAAAAATCTGGAATCCATTTAGAATTCTTATTTCATTTGGTTTAATGATAAACCCTAAAGCATTTATTTCAATAAATTATTTTACTTGCAAGCCAGATTTTCAAAAAGCAGCAGGTTTTCCTTAAATACGTTCATAATGAATGATTTATGCTCAAGACAGAACAAAATTAGCATTTTATTCATTTTATATCACAGCTATTAAACAAAAGTGATTAAATGATATTTTGGCTGCAATCTAACTGCAAATGAACTAATTTCTGTCTAAGTGTCTCCCTTTTATTTCTCAGTGATTTGCAGAAGGCATCTGCAGGCTCTTTGGCCTCGATCTTTTCCTCCTTGGTGCTGTGCCCCACAGAGCTGGTGAAATGTCGTCTCCAGGCCATGCATGAAATGGAAGCAACCGGTAAGGTGGCAAGAGGACAGAAAAGGTCAGTGCCATCAGGGATGATGGAATGACCCGAGTGCGTTCAGCCACGGCTGATCTCATTCTTGAATGTTTTATTTTTGTGGTGTGACTTCAGCACGGTGTGGTCCGTTGTTAAGATCGTTCTGAAAACGAGAGGTCCGCTGGGTTTCTATGAAGGACTGACGTCCACCATCGTGAGGGAGATTCCAGGCTACTTCTGCTTTTTTGGTGCTTATGAGCTGAGTCGGTCTACCTTTGCGCAGCATATGGGGACAGATAAGGACAGTATAGGTAAGCTCAGGAATATTCCTTTTGAAGTTCCATCTAGAAACCGCCCCCGCAGTGTAACGTCTGTGTGCGCAGGTATTCTTCCGCTCATGTTCAGCGGTGGATTCGGAGGAGCCTGTCTTTGGCTCATGGTCTACCCGATAGACTGCGTCAAGTCCAGGATCCAGGTCTACTCTTTAGCCGGGAAGCAAGAAGGCTTCATGAAGACCTTCCTGGGTATCGCACGTAACGAGGGTAAGATTTCAATATGCTTCGTTAAAATGAAAATAATCCAGATGTGTTTAGATTCTTGCTTCATATGATTCACTCAATTCAATGATAAATTTAACACCTTCAGTTTATTGCTGGAATAGTATATGTTTATTTTTGAATAAATACAATTCCAAGGTCCAAACCGCCTTTTTCCTCTGTTTCCCCAAAAGTTACATCTCCAGAATACAGGAATGTGCAATGCTGGGTCACAATGGTTCGGTTTCACATTTTTGACCCATTGTTGGCACCATACTCTGTCACAATTTCTAACCTAACACACCTGCATAACCATATAACAAGTTAGTATGCTAGCTAATATCAACACATTCTCACACCCAAAGCGGCTAAAACTGACGAAGGGTGACCAAGCGTGTGCCAGAGCGTTGCTTTTCAACGCCTGCAGTAAAAAGAACTTTTCACCGACATGTATGGGCTCGACACACGGGAGGCGACAAACGACCACGATCAGCGAAATTAGTCGCTGTCGCTTTTATTACCTGACACACGGGAGTCGACCCGCAGCAGCGGCCAGCGGCAAAGCTGTCTACGCGTTCTGTTCCATGGCGAAATTGAAACTTCCGTTGTTTTGTTTGGCTGTGTCAGGTTGGAGGGAATTAAGGTTATTTAAGCGGTTCAGAGTTGAAAAAAGTGGTAGATATGATGTTTCACAAGGTGCTGCTAGAGTTATGTGAAATCTTACTTCTGATTTTACTTTATAAAACATAATAATAATCAACTTCTCCATGTTTGCTCGGAGATGTGCGGAGCATCCTGTCCGCTCATTGGTCAGTGAATGAAACCTCCGTTGATTGGTCCTCGTCCGAGCGACAGTGATGAAAAGTAGAAAATATTTCAACTTTCTGGGATCGCGTCGCTGGGTCGCCTGTGCACGATACGTGCATGAGTGCAATTTTACACACGCACATTTTTCGCGTTTCGCTTAGTAGGAGGGGGACCCGCGATTATTGCTTTGTCGTGCATGTCTCATTGAAAATGAATGGAGGAGAGGCGATGTCGCCTCCCGTGTGTCGAGCCCATTAACCTCTAACCTTTAGCGATTTAACCTTCCGCTCACCCCATCCTAACCTTAACCCAGTTTCTCATTCTAAATTTCCCGTTAATCGTGTTTTAGAGGAACGATACAACAAGAAACAACATCGTTGCAGGCGCAAGTGGGTTAAGGTTAAGATGGGGGTGAGGGAAGGTTAAATTGCAAGAGGGTAAAGGTCAGAGTTCGATAAAATCTCCGTTTTACTGCGGGCGTCAGAAAGAGACGCTCTGGCACAGCGCCTTGCCTCCCGGCGCACTGGGGCTCCCAACGTGTTGGAAACAAACTCTTGGTCACCTTTCGTCAGTTTTAGCCGCTTTGGGTGTGAGAACGTGTTGCTAATATAGTGTGGTGTTTCTATGGTGAAAAACAAAGCAGTTTTTAGCTTTCTTGGTTTATTCTTAACTTCAAAATCAAGCAGCACAGCGCCACCATATTTCAAGAAAACTTCATGAACAACAACCTTTACAATGTTCATTATGTCCTCTTTTTTTAATATTAAACGAGGTTCTTTTCGTTTCGGACATGAAGGTGTTTCGAGTTACCTTGACATGTTTCGACCGTCGTCTGCGGTCTTCCTCTGAAATGTTACAGATGTTTGTGTGACATGTCTTTATCAGCTGTTCTTCTGGTGGGTGCGTCCAACCCGGATCGGTCAGATCCACCGGGTCGGCAATGCCCACCTCCGCCGGCCGGTCCTTGGAGAAGGGAATTCCAGGTGTGAGACAGCTGATAGGCCCCGTCGTCTCTGTTCATGTTCCAATGCTCGCGTTTCCTTATTTCTATTGCCTCCCTGACCCAACGCTTGAACCGGTTGTTCTCTGTGTTGATAATTTTTCCTTGATCCCAGTCCATGATGTGATTATTTCGTGCACGACAAAAGTCCTTACACCCGCTATCAACAAACATGCACGCCCATTGTCAAGGCAGCATACTGACAGACATCTCTGCCAGCCAACAACTTTGCAAACAACAAACAGAACAGAAAATTTGGTCCACGGGTGTTTCTCAGTGTCAAGGCACCAATTGGAACAGACTTAACTCACGTGACTGCGGCTGCCCAGAACCTAGAGGCCTCCGTCTGTGCACTTGTCCCTGTGAAATGAAAACAAAGTAATATTTTATTTTTATAACTTTCAATATAGATATATAATAAGCCTTTTACTTTTTAAACTGTGTATACATTAGTTAAATCAAATGTGTAAACGAGTTAGCACCTGCTAGCCACTACTCAGCAGCTAACCAACCACAGATACTAGCCTGATTGCTACAATTAGCTGACTTACATTTAAAGTGTAAATTTGACCCTGAAGTTGCTGCCGGCTCCTGGTCCGCCATTGTTTTGAAAATACTGCGCTGTATTCTGGGAAATGTTTGACCAAGGGAAGGCAATAAGGCACCTCTCGTGGATCCTTGGTCAGCTAGCTAAATGGCAGACAAACGAAGGACAGACCCCTCCATAGCACATGAACACTGGAACACATAGGCGTCATTTTAACCGGGGACGCCGGGGACATGTCCCCGGCAAAATTTGTGATTGGCAGCTGTGTCCCCCCCACTTTCAAAAACGCCTGCTGATGAGGATTTTTGTTTTACCAGCTCAGATCTTATCCAGGGGTCGGCAACCTATTCCCATCAAAGAGCCATTATTACCCGTTTCCCACAGTAATTCTGGACGGACCTTAATAAGCAGTGACTTAAGTGAAGCAGGCAGGTCGCGCTAGAAAATTTAGTTTAAAAAGACGTCATAAATGTTTTCCCCCGTCATTTTTATTTATAAAATATGAAGTAAAAACTCACAATTTAATTTTCATTCATTTGTCATTAATATGTAGTCTACACCCGTGCGTTAACCATCTTCCAGTAAACGCACAGCATCCAGCCCACCTCTCCAAATGCGTAAAATGTACATCAGCCGCTAGTTAGGCGCACCATCAGCTGATCAGCCCAGACAAGAGCAGAGCAAATAGAGACAGAATAGAGGATGATTCTGTCTGGATGTGGATGGAGATTACATTTTACAGCAGCCTGATCATCATTTAAATACGTAAACCATCACCTGTCTTCTTGTCCACGCTATCAGCATATATTTTAATTGGTGTGTGTGTGTGTGTGTGTGTGTGTGTTTTCCACTTCAAACACTGGTCTAACCAACCAGACCAGCGTGTCCAGTAACGTATTAATGTTACAATTAAACAGTTTCCCTTCATGTAGGCTAGGAACATTTCACCTGCCGTGGCCCGACCGCTTCTGCTCCACATAAACTTTGTGCGTGATCAAATGTCTCTACGCGTCATGCGTGTCCATATTAGAGACGGGAACAAGCGCTGTTCAGCCAAAGTTTCATAATTTCATAAAAAGAACATTTTTCCAAGTGACACATCCCTCAGAGAGACCGGGTTTCCAGACTGTTTCAGTGGGAGGAAATCTTATCGCATGCACCGTGGTTCTGCACTGCGCTGCGAACCCCAGATCTTCAGCTCACTGTCCACCGTGGGCGCTCCGAGCCGCGCTGAACACAGTGTCCAGTATAAAGCTCTGATGTTCTGATGGGAATCTTTTACCTCCGCGATGTGCGTTAACGATTAAAATGTCAGCTCATCCATGCGCATCAGTGTGCGTGGGGGTAATTCTTTCAAACCAAGCAACATCCTTGAGTTCATCTGTCAAAATAAACAGTCAAATGGAAATATATGTAACCTGCCGTTTAACTGTTTTGCCTTCTTGTGAAGATTGTTGCAAAGAGAAACAATTAAACTTGATTAACCCCAGAGCCACCCAGAGCGCATGTGGGAAGGTTCCTCCCACTGAAGCGAGTGTTTTCCAAACCCGGTCTCTCAGAGAGACTTGTCACTTAGAAAATGTTCCCTGATGATGAAACTTTGGCTGAATAGTGCTTGTTCCCGTCTCCAATGTGGCGACACATCCAGGAGCCTGTCTGAGGAGAATCCCAGAATCTCACATCATCTTCAGCTAATAAAGCGCCTATGATTACGCACAAGCGTGACGCGTCAACCCGGTCTCACAGTAAGACCGGGTTGGACCTGTTCAGGTTTACGCAGACAATCTTTACATTTAGAATTGGCATACAGATGTAAAATTAATGCAGTAAAATATAAAGCATTTTATTTAAATATCCATTCATTATTTTACAAACACAGAGCCGCATCAGATGGATGGAAGAGCCGCATGCGGCTCCAGAGCCGCCGACCCCTGTGCTAGCCTACTTTATTGTCCCCAGCAATTTTTAAACCCCACTCAAGTGTATGGTTATTGTCCCCAGAAATTCTGGAAACAAACTGACGCCCTTGCTGGAACACGCCTTATCGATTCATGATGACGTATATCCTAGGCAACCGGGGCATCAAAGCAAGGTTCCTTGACATTGAGAAACACCCTATGACACTAGCTAGCTTGGCTCTGGCTTCGTTTCCTGTTCAGTATGTGCAGAAGGGGGAGGGATGGTCAGAGGACAGTTTGATGGCTGGGTTATAATCCAATCATTTAGAAAGTAATGTAAGTAGTAAGTAAAGTACAGTAAGAAGTAGCAAACATGGTTTCATTTAACCCAAAGTTCATATTTACTTAGACCTTATAAACGTCTAAAAGGACTCTCATAATTATCCCAGAATGAAAAGGCTTTTTTTTTTTTTTTGGAGTTCTTTGAGTCCGAAGGCCTCTGAGGAATGATGTGTAGCTGTTTATCTCTGCTTTACCCCACAGGGATCACTGCCCTGTACTCAGGCCTGACCCCGACCATGGTACGCACCTTCCCGGCCAACGGAGCCCTTTTCCTGGCTTATGAATTCAGCCGCAAGTTTATGATGGAGACAGTTGGTGCCTGATGTCCCCATGTGATGGATCCTCCTACTTGAATTGCCTAATCTGTGATAAAACACTGCCTTTAGTATTTTTTCAAATGTACATTAAAGTTGAACAAGTAATTTAACAGCTGAACATCTGCTGTGCTGGTCACAGTCATTTAAAATAAAGTTTTAATCCTAACTTTAAATTGGTGGCTTGATTGGTTTGATTTTTAGCATTTTTTAAATTGTGAATCTGTTTTAGAAATAATCTCATTGGATTAATAAAAATTAATAGCCAATAACAACCTTTCAGTACACCACATCATTAAATGACCCCTTTTTTGTATATTATATGTTTGCTTGCTTTTTCACAGTGACAGTTTAGCAAATTATACTAAATTAAATTGAAGAGGAGTGCTCTCGGGAAGAAGCAAATGCAATAAATTTCAGTATATCTGCTTACAATTAAAATGCTATTGAAATAAAAATATTGTTTGATTATTGGGAATTAGAGATATTTTTCATTAAACTAATGACTTCTGAAGCCTACAGATGTTGCAGAAAGGACAAATACCAGTCATTGAGAAATAACTTGAAATAAATATTTACTGAAAATCAAGAAAATGCTACATTGCTTTTGAATTGAGGCTTAATAAATGTATTTTTTAAAGTAAGCCATGAAACTGGTCTGGACAGAAAAGATGGTACCAGCCATCCATTTTCATCTGCTTATCCAGGGTTGGGTCATGGGGATAGCAGCCTAAGCAGGGAAGCCCATATTTCCTTCTCCCCAGCCACTTGGGGCCAGCTCTTCCGGGGAAATCCCAAGGAGTTCCCGGCCAACCGAGAGATATAGTCCCTCCAGCATGTCCTGGTTCTCTGGAAAATCTTACCAGGGAGGTGTCCAGGAGGCATCCAAACCAGACACCCAAGCCACCTCAACTGGCTCCTCTCGATGTGGAGGAGCAGCAAGTCAATTCCGAGCCCCTCCCGGATGACCAAGCTTCTCACCCCATCCCTAAGGGAGGACCCAGCCACCCTGCGGAGAAAACTAATTTCAGCCGCTTCTATCTGTGATCTCATTCTTTCGTTCTTTACCCAAAGCTCATGACCATAGGTGAGGGTAGGAATGTAGATCGACTGGTAAATCATGAGCTTTGCCTTTAGGCTCAGCTCACTCTTCACCGCACTAGACCGGTACAACGCCCGCATCACTGCAGACGCAGCACCAATTCAACTATGGATGTCACACTCCATCTTTCCCTGATTTGTAAACAAGACCCTGAGATACTTAAACTCCTCTTGAGGCAGGACCTCATCCCTGAGCTGGAGAAGGCATTTTGCTCTTTTCCGAATCAAGACCATGGTCTCGGATTTAGAGGAGCTGATTTTCATCCCAGCTGCTTCAAACTTGGCTGCGAACCGCTCCAGTGAGAGCCGGAGATCACGTTCTGATGAAGCCAACATCATATGTAAAAAGCATCATCAGTAAAAAAAAACATCCCCTCACCAACTTGGCTGCACCTAGAAATCTTGTCCATAAAATCCCAAACAGAATCAGTGATGGTGCCACTTGATTTGGGATGTGGTGGAACGGGGCGACGGTGGCACAAGAGTTGAGTGCTTGCCCCGTAATCGGAAGGTTGCAGGTTCGAGCCCCGCTCAGTCTGTCGCTGCCGTTGTGTCCTTGGGCAAGACACTTAACCCATGTTGCCTGCTGGGGGTGGTCGGAGGGACCGGTGGCGCCAGTGCTCGGCAGCCTCGCCTCTGTCAGTGCGCCCCAGGGCAGCTGTGGCTACATTGTAGCTCATCACCACCAGTGTGTGAATGGGTGAATGACTGATTGTGTTGTAAAGCGCCTTGAGGGGTTCCAGGACTCTAGAAGGCGCTATATCAAATACAGGCCATTTACCATTAATATTTTATTGCATTTCTGACACCCACGATAGGACTTCTACATTTGTTTACAGGTATTTTGTCCCACTCCTTATGATCAAACTGCTCCAGACATTTTAGCTCCTTCTACAGATGTTCAGCAGGATTTACACTCAGCTAAATGATTATTAGGAACACCTGTTCAACTTCTTAATGCAATTATCTAATCAACCAATCACATGGCAGTTGCTTCAATGCATTTAGGGTCCTGGTCAAGACAATCTCCTGAACTCCAAACTGAATGTCAGAATGGGAAAGAAAGATGATTTATGCAATTTAGAGCGTGGCATGGTTGTTGGTGCCAGACGGGCGGGTCTGAGTATTTCATAATCTACGCAGTTACTGGGATTTTCACCCACACCCATTTCTTGGGTTGACAAAGAATGTTGTGAAAAGGGAAAAACATCCAGTATGCGGCAGTCCTGTGGACGAAAATGCCTTGTTGATGCTAGAGGTCAGAGGAGAACGGGCCGACTGATTCAAGCTGACAGAAGAGCAACTTTGACTGAAATAGCCACTCGTTACAACCGAGGAATGCAGCAAAGCATTTGTGAAGCCACAACACGCACAGCCTTGAGGCGGATGGGCTACAACAGCAGAAGACCCCACCGGGTACCACTCGTCTCCACTACAAATAGGAAAAAGAGGCTACAGTTTGCACGAGCTCGCTAAAATGGGACAGTTGAAGACTGGAAAATTGTTGCCTAGTCTGATGAGTCAAATGGTAGAGTCTGAATTTGGCGTAAACAGAATGACAACATGGATCCATCATGCCTTGTTACCACTGTGCAGACTGGTGGTGGAGGTGTAATGGTGTGGGGGATGTTTTCTTGGCACACTTTAGGCCCCTTAGTGCCAACTGGGCATGGTTTAAATGCCACGGGCTACCTGAGCATTGTTTCTGACCATGTCCATCCCTTCATGACCACCATGTACCCATCCTCTGATGGCTACTTCCAGCACGATAATGCACCATGTCATAAAGCTCCAATCATTTCAAATTGGTTTCTTGAACATGACAATGAGTTCACTGTACTACAACGGGCCCCGCGGTCACCAGATCTAAACCCGATAGAGCATCTTTGGGATGTGGTGGAACGGGAGCTTCGTGCCCTGGATGTGCATCCCACAAATCTCCATCAACTGCAAGATGCTATCCAATCAATATGGGCCAACATTTCTAAAGAATGCTTTCAGCACCTTGTTGAATCAATGCCACGTAGAATTAAGGCAGTTTTGAAGGTGAAATAGGGTCAAACACTGTATTAATATGGTGTTCTTGATAATCCTTTAGGTGGGTGTAGATCGGGGGTCAGTAAAGGCCTTTTTAGAAGAGTCAAGTGTATTATTCTAGGCCCTACTTGGGCGTTGTTAGCTGATGGTTTTGGGTCATTATCCTGTTGGAGGACCCATTACCAGTGATTGATGCCAAGCTCTGATACTGAGCAGCACAGTTTGCTCCAGAACACCTCAGTAGACTTGAACCCTGAGCGGATAATGTGCCCTCTTCAGAAATTACTTCATGTTTCACAGTAGGCAGTCTTCTTTTTCTTTTCTGTAAACATTTAACTTTTGTGATTTGTCAAAAAGCTATAGGACATTCTCCCAGAAGCTCAATGGCTTGGCAAAAAGCATATGATCAAAATCAAGTCTGTTTTTTAATTTGTTGTGTTTCTGTGTCATACATGTTTTCCCCACAGGTATTTTTCAATTAAGACCATTAAAGGCTTAAAATAAGACATACCTTAACCTTGAAGTTCTTCTTGGCTGTTTATGGATGGTTTATTTGCTTATTTTTCCACAATGCTGACTGTTCATCTGCTGTACCCGGGGATGCATTTCCACTTGTGGACCTTAATTTCTCGGAATAGCATGTGATTGTTGTCCCAGAAACATCAAGCTGCTTGGAGATGGTCCTCTGGCCTTTAACATGCTTGCCAATAATTGTTCTACTAATCTCCCTAGACAACTCTCTAATTGGCTTTCTTTGGTCCATGTTCAATATGGATCAATCATTCAGTTATTAAAGATGCAGGAAATGTTCTCCAAAGTGTTTTTTTCTCTCTCAACTGAAAAACATTACTTTAAAGTAAGACAATTCAACTGACCAATTACTCTGTCCAAAAGGGGTCAAATTAATATAACTCTACATAACGGTCATATAAAAGGTCGAAAAAACAAGGAAAAAAACTATCTAAAGGAAGTAAAATTTTAAATGAAATCAAACATACAGAAAGGAAAAAATAAACTAAACAGAAAGAACCCAACAGCCCCACCCCTGAAGGCTGAGGAGCATATGGTTGAGCCTGATGAGTTGGCTTTAGGATTAAAACTGTCCTCGGCCCTTGGCCACACCAGTTGCTCCACCAGGAACAAGTCGACATCCCACCGAGGTAACTGAAAATAAAATAGAAACACTTATTGAGGTTTTAAAGACCAGGATTACTCAGAAAACATTTTTTACTTAGTATTTTCCAAAATGATGTCACTCTGAATTGAACATGCAGGCTGAACGTGAAAAAAGTCTCTTCCTCTTCTTCCTGCTGTAGCTTCTGATAGGAAATAGACGATGAAAAGCAGGGTTCAGAAAATCCTGACAGATGTACGTCATGCCGTCATTTAGCATTTATGGACCCACGGCAGGGAAAGCCGTTGTTCCTTCACTGTCCAGGAGACAGCAGAGAGCATCTCGGCTAGTAGAGGTGCGAATCTTCACTCGTTTCCCAATTCGATTCAACTCCAATTATTGGGTCAACAATTCAATTTGATTCGATATCCCGATGCTTCACGATGCATTGGTTATTTGATTATTTTCCTCAGCTCTATCGGCTAATAGAAGCTAAGCGTTAGCATTAGCAACTCCACCACATGGCAGAACTCCTCCAGGCTTGTGCTATTTGTGGAGATTAAACATCAACGTTGCAGAGCAAATGAAGTCAGTGGTCGAGATGCGTTGTTGTTAGCCAATCAGAGGTGAGATGTCAAAATATCAGGAAAAGGACTCCAAATCCTGCCATCTGCTGCACTTTCACCTCCAGCTGATTTCTACATCCTAAAACAGGTGCACTGGAGCTTTTTTCCCCAGAGAACAACTTACAAGACATTAATTCCTACCCGAGACCACTGCAAATTTGCTAAAACATGAGTAAAGTGTATACCTTTTAAGTAGGTAAACAAAAAAAAAAGTATTTGTGATGAAATGATGAGGTGAGTGTGCTGTAGCCATGGTTACAGCTATCCCAGTGGTACACATCCTTGTACCTAACAGCACTGCGACTACTTTTCAGTCTTTATAGGCAGACCGGTTGATTACAGGAACTTGAAACATTCTTTCTTGAAGAGACACAGGAAGATGATCATGTCTGCTTCTTGCACCATCTGTTACAGGACTTGATTATTTATTCACTACCTGCAGTCAACATGTGACCGACTCCCCCTGGACTAAAAGTCTAATGGGGAACCAGGGGGGTTGAACTTTAAGCCTCCGACAACAAGAGCCACATAGATGCTGGATCACCGGTTTATGTTACCTGTTGGCACCCAGTAGGTCCAGAGAAACAGTGGTGCAACGTTAATGCGTGTCTCGGTCTCAGGTTAATGGAAAAACTATCAGAAGTGTGTTTAAGCCACACCCCCCCACACACACAGAGAGGAGACAGGTAAACAAGAGCAGCACTGCTCCAACCTCCAGACAATTCACCAATGATCTCAACAACTTCCAGCACAGTGGAAATGGTTACACAGGCTAAACTTCAGATCAACTCGGGAAACGTCGAAGGTAAATGCTTTCATAACTTCTGTAGTGAAATCTTGTGTTTTAAAGGGTGTTAAAGTGGAATGTGTAACAAATGGTGTGGCCAAGAGCCGAGGACGGGAATTGTTGTTTAGAGCAACAATTGTTACAAGACCTTTTGGGACAAGACCCTTTATAATTTTTGATATAATGCTTTGGACATGGATTAGGGCTATTGGAAAATAAAGTTTATCACTTTTCTCAGAATCCAGAGAATAATGTGAGAATTCAGGGGGAAAAAATCTTTTTTTTCTTAGATTAAAGTAAATTAATCTCTTCTCCCCACCTTTTCCAAAAACGAGATTTGTTGTTAATTTTGGAAAAAGAAAAAAAAGTTTCTAATATTAGTATTTAGTTTGATATCAGCTATTTTTTACTGATATCTTATATTTAATAGCCTAACTCTTAATTTCCATTAAACCAATTTCAGTAGAGGTGCCCCCCACCCCAACTCCCTGTTAACGCACATCACATATATCATGCATTTACGTAAACTTTAAAAATTATTTGTGGAACTACAATTCAAGTTGGTCCAGTTGTGCCGAACAAACAGAAACATCTCAACAATTAAACCTTGGACCTGTCACATTTTGATGTTTTGAGTGAGAGGAGACGTTGCTGAAGAGTTTGATGTATAATATGTGCATGGTATGAAAAAGTTCTGTTACTAAATGGGTAAAAAAACATTGACGACAATTTGCCAATATAATAATCATAGGTTTTAAAATTGAGAGAAAAAAAACCTTTAGAAAGAGAGTACTTTAGGGGTCATTCAGTTTCGGTTCACCGCTACTATTCCCAGCAAAAACTGAAAAGTTGCTTAAACCTGCCTTTTCATTAGATCGATAATCAAAATCACGAGATGGGTTTTCATCTTTTACAGCCAAAGTTATGAAATGTCAAAGAGCCACAGGTTTTAGACCCCTGACCTAGACACTCTCAATGATAAGAAACTGGTTAAATGGTATTGAAACTGGGACAGAAACGGCTGTTTGAGGTTTAAATCTGGGTATGGAACAGGCAAACTCTGAAAGGTGATGGTGTCGTCTCTCAGCTCAGACACGAGGGCATTGTTGAACGCAGCAACAAGACAAAGAAGTTATACACAGTCAGAAAGTCTCTCCCAGGCTAAGATTTCAATGCAGGCTTAGGTTTCAACATACATGTTGAAACGGGTGTGTAGCAACAGGCTCGTTCGAAGAGGCTGAAACGGGCAATGATAGGAACTGAAATGTGGCAGGAGTGTTTCTTTTTTCTTGACATCCTCTGATCTGACAGAAACCTGCAAAAATCCATCCTCTGGAGAATTTTGGTCAAACGAAAAACCTGTGACATGGAAAAAGCAAAATGAATCAGTGAGGAATAGAAAACATAGAAATATGGCAGCTGACTGGTGGATCAAATTCATAAATGTTTAGCTGAAGCATGGGTTGATCAAATGTGCTTGAAAAACAAGTATAGATATTTAAGAGGGTATGATAGGCTTTGCATCCATTCGTGCTGCTATGTAGGTCTCCACTGCTTCTATAAACACTCAAAAAGTAAAATATCCCAAACATCTGTTTTCTGTCCATGTTTGGTTTAGGAAGTATGTGGCTAAAATGGGTGGTTTCAAAAAGTCCTCGTTTGTGATGTCACAGATGAGGAAATTAGGATAAGTCTTCTGATAATAGAGCAGCAGCTCTACTCCAAGTTCCTCCCACCCATCCCATATCAGGGATGGGGTGGGCGTGGCCAAATCCAGCTTAAAGTGACAGAGCCCTGAAAAGGCTCATTTTGGAAGGTATTGAAAATATTGAGATTAGTTCTGCTGAAAGGGCTTTATGCGAGAGGGATAAGGTGTAAAGAACCTCATAAACATGGTATGTATCAAACATAAAACTATTATAACTTTAAAAAGTCTATTTATTTGCATTTAAATCATCTTGTTTCTCCACAGATAAGAACTCAGGGAGTCTTGGATGTTTTGGTTGGCTGCTGGTTATCATATCCCTAATTTTTGTAGTGGTAACCTTCCCAATTACTCTGTTCATGTGTGTCAAGGTAGTTTAATTCTGAACAAAGTTTAATCATTAAACTTTAGTTCAATAACATAAGGTTGACTTGTTTTACTCTTTCGTATGTCCAGATAGTGAAGGAATATGAGCGAGCAGTCATTTTCAGACTCGGAAGGATTTCAGACAGAAAACCAAAAGGACCAGGTTTGTAATTTCCTCTTTTTGCTCCTTGAGAAAAAAAAAAGTCTTTTTAGAAAAGATTAAATCTGGAATTTTTCTCTTTTCAGGACTTTTCTTTGTTTTGCCGTGCACTGACAACTTTGTGAAAGTTGATCTGAGAACGGTGTCCTTTGATATTCCTCCACAGGAAGTGAGTTTTCCTGTAGATGGACATCTAATATAAAACATCTTCTTGGCTCACTCTGGATCAAATTTGGTTTACTTCCACAGATCTTGACCAAAGACTCGGTGACGGTGTCTGTGGATGGAGTTGTGTACTTTCGGATCAACTGCCCCATCTCATCTGTGGCCAATGTGTCTAACGCTTGCTCATCCACACGGCTGCTTGCTCAAACCACTCTGAGGAACGTCCTCGGCACCAAAAACCTTTCAGAACTCCTGTCTGACAGAGAAGGGATTTCTTTAAGTATGCAGGTTGGAAAAGCACAGAGGGGCTTAGGAATTGACAGGAATGGCAACATATTTGTTCTGAGTTTGTGGGAGACTTCATTGCATCATTTTTATAAATTTCTGCTGCCCATTTTGAACTGAACTCCAACAGTTCAAGTAGATTCTCAAATTCCCACATCTCCTGCTCCTGAGCTGCCACCTCCAAATCCACCAATATGTCAAATTGTTAGCGTCTTTGTGACGCTGCTGCCAGGTTCTTGACGGGTACACACCGACGTAGCCACATTACCCCTGTCCTGGAACATCTTCACTGGCTCCCTGTCATTTTCAGAGTGCAGTTTAAGTTACTGACTTTTGTTTTTAAAGCACTCAATGACCTGGCACCTTCCTACCTCTCTGCCCTTCTCACTCCATATGTGCCCACCCGCTCGTTGAGGTCGGCTGACCTTTTGCTGCTGCACACGCCGCGGATGAGACTCAAATCGCGGGGTGAACGAGCATTTGTGCATGCTGCCCCAAAGCTATGGAACTCATTGCCCATTGGAGTTCGGCAGGCTCCATCTCTGGCGGTTTTTAAATCTCGTTTAAAGACCCACTTTTACACTTTGGCTTTTAGACAATGACTCGTTTTAGCGTTTTATTGTCATTGTTTTAATGTGTTCTTATTATTCATGGTTTCTCTGCTTTTAATTGAGATTTTTATCCTTTGTTTTAGCTCCTTGTAATGGGTGTGTTTTGTTTTAGCCTGTGCAGCACTTTGGGCAGCTCCCATGCTGCATTTTAAATGTGCTATATAAATAAACTATGCTATGCTATGCTATGCTAGAAGAGCGGTGTTTGTTTTTTAGGAAACCCTGGATGAGGCCACTGATAAATGGGGCATCAAGGTGGAGCGCGTGGAGATAAAGGATGTAAAGCTGCCGGTACAGCTGCAGAGAGCTATGGCAGCAGAGGCAGAGGCCAGTCGGGAAGCCCGGGCTAAGGTGAGTGAAGAAACAACACATTTAGCCTTCAAAGCAGGAAGATCATAATTTTAGAAACGCCACCTGTGTTTCAGATTATTGCTGCAGAGGGTGAGATGAAGGCCTCCAGGGCTCTGAAAGAAGCATCCCTGGTGATCGCAGAGGCCCCGTCTGCTCTCCAGCTCCGGTACCTGCAGACCCTCAACACCATCGCTGCAGAGAAGAACTCCACCATCATCTTCCCTCTGCCTATAGATGTGCTGCAAGGTTTCATGCAGAGGAAGTGATGAATTGGCCATTTTATTTACTTCCTGAAACAAAGTTTGCAAGATTCTGATGAGAAAAGGAGCTTATTGTTTATTTAAATGCATACACACTCACCAAATCTTGGTTTATGCACTTATTGTGTTTGCTAATTCTGATTTAGTACATTAAATGCAAAGTGCGACATATACAGCAATGTCTTCTCATCATTCACCACAATACTGCAACCAGCTAAGTTACAGTTTCAAATCTTGCGGAAAATAAATAATTCAATAAAATTCAAAGCATAAAGTAAACACAAAAAATGTGGAATTTGACTAACTCGGAAAGACATGCTTTTGTGTAAACTTCTTAAATACTTAATTACAATCAACTTATGATTTGTAAACAATCAACACACGTACGAGACATCCATGTGACACTCTGGGATAAAAACTGCAAACAAAAGCTCTTTTTGTGACGTTCATTCAGTAAACGTGTCCACAGGACACAGAGGTCAGTGCAATATGAGAACCTGACTGAGGGGAAGGGGATTTCCACCTCCTCTCAGATAACTTCAAACATTAAAACTGGGGCAGAACTCCACATGTATAACGTCTCATTCATTATATAAAGAAATACTGAAAAGTAATGTAATAAATTAAATACTATTTCAGTTTTTATATTATTCATGCTAACATTTTGAAACAGTTTGACCACTGCTAGCATCTACGTGATTGCATACAAAGTGTATTTTGCAAAATGTTTTGTGAATTTTTAAGATGATTAGTTATTGTATGAAACTATTTTAAATAATATGCAATAAACTAAAAAAAATGACAATTGCTTCCCTTTGATGATTCTAAATTCTTCTTAAATCCTGAGATAATCTAAACAATGAGAAATGAGGTGATATTGCAATCAGATTGTTTTTGTCTTTTGCCTGTACTGGATGGCTGACTGATTTCAACGGAAAGATGGCTGAAATAGGTGCTCCAGGTACCCTCGAAATATGTCAATATGATTAATGAGGTCTCCAAGAAAAGCTTAGGATCCTTGTTGAGTCGTTTTCATAACCTTTTCACAGGAGATGCTAGCTGTTACCATTCACTTACATTGTTTATGCTAAGCTAAAGCTAACGGAACATTGCCAATTAAGGAGAATGACTGGGCTGGTAACAAAATGCTTTTTCCCACTTATCTAACTCTGGGGAATATGCCTGCAGCCTGAATGTCACTTAGGGGTGGAATAAAGAGGCTATTAGAAGTCAGGCGTGTCTTCTCAACTGGGATTAAAAATATTTCTTACAAAAGTTCTGTTGGTTTGAGAAGTCAACATATTCCCGGTATCAGTGACCTCAACAGTATCTCGACAAAACGGACTATTTCTTAATAATAATTATTTAATATTTTGATCCCCTATTGTTTGATGTTCATGGAAGATAATATGAAAGAAACACAGTCGCATCAGATTAGTACATTTTTTAGACACTGAATTTTTATTCTTTGAAATTATGTATTTGAATTTTTTAAAAACAAAATAATTTGATCTTCAAAAATTCAACAGCAAAATGTCAATGAGGTGGCTTCTGGTGACCCAAACCAAAGTAATCGTCACTCGGTCGAGTCAAGTGGCTTTTAGCCAATCAAACTACGCTTCTCTGAAACTCTGCTGTTGATTTTTTACGGATAAATGTTTTGCTCATGTATTTTAATTTAAAACACTTGAAATACATAATTTCACAGAAAAACATTCTACTTATAATAAAACACCATATTCTGGTGACACTGTATTTCTTCCATAACCATATTAATAATAAAACTTATAATTCATAGTAACTGGAAGACAAGCATGTACAGATTTGACAAAGTCCTGTCAACAATGTGTTCACCTGGTTTGTGGAGCCTTTTTTTGTGGATGCTGATTGCAAACTGTGTAGGAAACACAGGATGATTGAGGTTAGATGGCTTTCATTATTACAATCATGATGCGTGAAGGAAAACAAGTCGTTTTTTTATGTCATTTAAAGCATTGCCCCCTCTACGCGCTGTTAGAAGTCGCTGGTGGGAGAGAATGAATGGCTGAAGGCGCTTCTTGTTTTTGCTGTTGCATGTCTCATGTCTGCTTTGTCCAGCCTCCTGAGTGCTGAGAGGGAAGATGGGGATGGAAACATGTGAATGAGGCACTGATTTACAACATTCCTGCTCTGATGGGGCATTCAAGAAGAACAGAAAAAGGCTGGGGGATTTCCCTCTGGAGCAAGCAAACACGTGATTATCATTACAGTTCATGAAGTCTGTTTGGAGTAAAATCCCCCTTTAACTGGAGAGAACAAGGGTCAAAAACTTCAAAAGTGAGGGTTGCACGCTGATAAAAGCCAGTAGTGGATACAACCGCTTCCTTTGAGAGTGTCACTGATGGTAGGAGTGTGGACGAGCAGGGGAGCCTGGCCCAGACGGGGGTCTGTGAATGGGGGATGAGGTGGGGGACATGTGGGGGCTCAGCTCTCCAGTCTGGAGGCGCCACAGGAGCTCCTCATTGGTGCGACTCAGACGCTTCTTTTCTTTGCTTTCCTGCTCTACGTGCACTTGCAGGTTAGCGTTCTCCACGGAGAGTTGTCTGAAGGAGAAAATGTAAACAAGAACATGTTGGAAAGGAGCTTTTGTTCTTTTGCATTTTGAGTAAAAACTGGAAAGCATCATCTGATTTAAAGCTGTGGTCGCTTAGCCTTGAAATCTCCCCAAACCGCTGTAGCCTCAGCTGGTTTACCATTGGCCCGAACAATTTTAGCTCTGGCCAATCACAGCGCTCTAAGTTTTGGCACCAAAAGCTGTGATAAAAAACTACAAGCATGGCATCAGCTCAGGAACGTTACTTGTGTGAAATGGGAAAATAGATTTTTCAGGCTCAAAACCACAACATCAATTCCTTCCTGCCGCTTTAAGCGTCGTTTCAAACATAAATGAACATTTTATCTACAAACAGACCTGGAAACAGCGGCATTCTTGTCTATTTGCTCCTTCAGGTCTTCGTTCTGCTGCTGCAACACTTGAAGTTTCTCCTCCAGATACACATTTTTTTCAGCCTGCTCAAAAACAGAGGGAAAAGTGCAAAATTTTAGTTATTCAAGTGAAGAATGACAATTTAAAGCACAGAGGCGGGTTTAGCAATTTGGGGGCCCCTTACACAAAATTGTCAACAATCTTACCTTTAACTGGATTTGTGAAACTCTCCCCTCTTCTGACATGAGTTATTTTCCCTTTTTATTAGCTCTCCTCTTTTTTCCTGTTTTTCCCTCCTTTTGAGTGCTTTCATTATTTGCTCTGCTTTCTTTTTCCTGTCAGTGCTCCTGTGCTTTTTTTGCCTTTGTTATATTTTTTCTATTTTCCATTTTGGTCTGTTTTCCTCCCTTTAAACATTTTCCATTGTCTTTCCTTTCTGCTTCCTTTTGATGTTTACATCGAAAAACGACGTCACTTTCAGAAGTGAAAATAAAAGCTTTTATGAAGCATGATGCTTCTTTCTCTTATTGGAGCCACTAGGATAACTCCATTTCATGCTTCATGTATTGACTATCGCTTTGAGTTTGTTATGAACGCTCCCGCCTCTCTTCTTCTTCTTCTTCTTGTTTGTGGTCTTATGGCACTGATGGCAAACAACCATTTGGTGCATTACCGCCACCAACTGGATTGGAGTGGAATGACTACCAATCACTTCCTGTTTGTGCATCGCCGTCTTAATAACCCTCTTATGACCATAATTATAACAGGGCTGCCTGGTATGTTTTAATCTTATGGCTGTAAACTTGTAATAAAAAGTACAAGTGTGTGTAACTCTTTTCCTTTTTTCAGAACAACCTCAGCTTTCAGTGTATGGTTTGTATTTAGAATGTATTTCTATTACAAACTTTAAAAAATCAGCTTAAAAGTGAAAAAAGCAAAAAACGGATTTGAATTTTTTACATTTATTACTGAACAGGAACTTCTAAATTACTGGGCAAACAATTTGGAATGAACAATTTAAACTTTGAAGTGTAATGCATCTATTCTAAAAGTTTGAACCTTGGTATCTTTTTTTAGCAGTTTTTAGGACCATTTATTTTTGTAAACTTTCAGACATTTTTATTTGATGTGGTAGACCTTGAAGCAGTTTCTCTCCAGCTGCAGGCAGAGTCCTGCACACCTCACACCGGCATGGGGTGCTTCTCTGGCACACCGTGCTGCTATACCAAAAACTTTTGTTTTAGCAAATATAATTATTTATTGTAAAAAGATAAATAATGCTTGAATGAAGCTGAATCTTACAATTAGCAAATAGTTGAGGGTTGTTCAAATAAAAAAATAAAGACGGAACAAACATTCATACCCTGGTTCACCAGAGATCTGTCCTTCTTCGTGGTCACCGTCTTCAGATATAAGCCTTCTGTGACACCTAATAGATCGTGTTGATTTTCTTTGAGGCATTTCCATAATTTCATGCTGGTTTTTATGCTGATTAGCTTCCCCGTTCCGTTATCCGCTTTCACCGCGGCGCTGCGCTCCGTTTCAATCAGGCTGTACAGCAGGATTTCCCCTCGTAGCGATATTTTCCATAACTCTGATTGCTTCATGCTATAGATCATTGGAAAGCTGCTTTTATGTACGTTTAGGAACCGTTGGAATTTTTTGTTTCTGATCAGCCATTCAAACGTTATAACACGGAGCATTTTGGATGACAAACTCAGCACGTCTCTCTGTGTTGTGATTGTTGCGCTCAAGACAGAGAATCCCGGTGGCTACCGTAGTCTTGTATATGCATGAAAAGCCCCAATTTTAATCTTTTCAGCACTTTTGGAATTTTAATGATATCTTGAACGGTTCAGGAAATATGGTAATGAGAAGCATGTCCAATCCCGTCTGCGGCGACAGGTTGGTAATAAGAATGTTGTGGCATTAACAGAGGGGTGCCGGTGGTCAGGGCTAGGAGGCCCCCAACACAAGGGGGCCCCAGGCGGCCGCCTACCTATGCCTAATGGTAAAACCGCCTCTGTTAAAGCAGCAGAAAAGTAAAACACGGCAAAACTGTTTCACAAATAAATTCAAACTGTAACTGTAGTCCAAAATGTTTATGCTAAATTGAAATTTTTGAAAAGGATTTGCTGGATCAGAGTTTAAATGCATTTTTGATGTTCTTAAACATAACCCAGAAACTTCATGCACATGTTACCATCAACGATTATACATTTTTATTTTTAAAAACAACTGAAAAGGGTGAAACTTGAAGCCTACTATTTTCTCCAATTCTGAAATCTTCAGCTCCTGCTGATGGATTTGTTGATTTTTCATCTCCAGAACATCTTTCAGGCTCTTCAGGTCCTCCTCTATGTGTTTGTAAGGAGCCAAAGCATCCTGAAATAACCAGAAGAGAAAAACACTTTAATTTTGGTAATGTTTTCAGAGCGTCACGCTGCAGAACTCACCACAATCTGCTCATCGGTGCTCCTGCGGAGAGCTTCTTCAAATCGCTTTGCCCGATCTCTGAGGCTACGGTTCTGAAATGTCAGCGTGTCCACCTGATCCTGGAGACCAAACACACACAAATGTATTTACTGCCGCTTAGCAGAAATCTTTAATTGTGTCGTACAAGAAGCTTACCTGAAGTGACAGTCGGATCTTCTCAAATTCTTCCTCCAGGGACTTCTTCTGCTGTTCGTGAGCCATCTTCAGATCTGTCAGCAGTTGTTTTATCAGAAAAAGGAACCAGTGGAGAAGATAAACTGGTTTTTAAAGCTGCTTACTCTTTACGGTCCTAGCATGCTCCTCCTGTAGAGTGGACAGCGTGTCATTATGGGTTGTCTCCATCTCCAACAGAGATGCCTCGTGGTTCTCTGTCATCTCCTCGAGCTTCAATAAAAGCATCAGAGTAAGACCAGAACAAACATCCTGAGTTTTGTTTGGAATCAGGCTGCACAAACCTGCTCCTGCTGCTGGAACTGCAGCTCGTCCAGCTCAGCTTGCTGTTGGGCCTGCAGGCTCCTGGCCTCGTCCATGTGCCGAGCCTTCAGACGCTCCTCCAGCGCTCCCAGCTCCCTCTGCTGCTGAGCCCGTAACCCCTGCAGCTCGGCCTCAAAACGACGCTCCAGGTCCTCCTTCTCCTGCTGCAGCTGCTCCCAGTGTGCCACGCTGAAAGCTGGGACACCGAGCAGAAGTGTAACTGACTAGATCTGATTCAAATTGAGGCCATGCACTGAATGATTTTATTCACTTTCATTTTTTTCTTTTGCACATGAAAAGTAAATTTGGTTTAAAATGGTTCTGAGCTGATTATATATATATATATATATGTTGTGTCCTTGGGCAAGACACTTAACCCACGTTGCCTGCTGATGGTGGTCGGAGGGACCGGTGGCGCCAGTGCTCAGCAGCGGGCCCCAGGGAAGCTGTGGCTGCATCGTAGCTCATCCCCATCAGTGTGTGAACGTGTGTGTGAATGGATGAATGATACACTGTAGTGTAAAGCGCTTCGGAGTCCTTACTCTGAGAGGCGCTATACAAGTGCGGGTCATTTATCATTTACACAAGAAGTCAGCTCAATGGCTAAATCTGGGCAATGAACAGCTACGCCCTGCCAGTAATCAGATATCCTGCAGGAATAATAAGCTGGCCAAAGAAAGAAATACAGACCGCAGATGTTAAGACGCAGAAGCTCCAAACTATGCATGGAGGGCTCCATCCCAAGTCCAGCACCCTGTGACTGTACACTAGCCGTAAGCCAAAAAGTTCAAATGAAGGCAAATGGACTTCTTTGGTTTCTTGAAGACGTTTTGCTTCCCATCCGAGGAGCTTTGTCAATTTTACCTGGAATATGGGAGAGTCTGTAGCTGTCTATTGTTATTTAATGAGTAGAAACTACTCTGGGTACCCCGCCTCTCCATCCCCTGATACGTGGTTAGCCTCTATTGAGGGTGAGAGGGAGTTGTTGTGTTGATCAGACACAGGAAGGTGTAGCCTAGACTGAAACTGCTTAGGAAGGAGACTCAAAGCTGCATTATAGGTGCTGGTGAAATCTAAGCCCCCCACCCCTATTAAAAGTGGGGGTTTCCACGTTTGACATAGATACCTTCTTTTACTCCTCTCTCAAGAAGAAGAAGAAAATATCATTTCTATAGCGCCTCTCAAGATAAAAATCACGAGGCGCTTCACAAAAACAAAAGTAAAAATATAAAAAAGCATTTAGAAAATGTTTAAAAATATATTTAAAATGAGCAAAAAATAGGCAATTGTGATTTTAAAAAATGTTAAGAAAGAGAGAGTGAATAAGAAAGAGGGAAATCAGTGGATCCTGAGGAAGGAGGAATAGGTGGGGAGAGCAGAATAAAGAGAGAGTGGTGAAGAAGGTCATACAAAAGCCAGCTTCAACAAGTGAGTCTTCAGCTGCTTTTTGAAGGAGACCACTGAGTCCACTGATCTCAGGCTCAGGGGGAGAGAGTTCCAGAGTCTGGGGGCCACAGCAGCAAATGATCTGTCACCTTTTATCACAGCACAAAGAGGACTCAAATGCAGAGCTCACACAGTTTTAATCAGCAGAAGGGATTCCTGGCAGTACAGCACAACTGAACAAGTCCAAAACTAACTAAATACACTTTCACAAAGTGTTACTGAGAGCAGGTTCACAGTACTCAACTGAAGAAGACAAACTGGCAAAGGAAACTGTTGCAAAGAAGCTTAAATGGAGAAGCCAGGACCCAGGTGCAAGACATGAGGCAGATTAGTGAGGAGCCTCATGTCGTGAAGCTGCCTGTAATGAGACAGGAAGTGAATGCACAAAATAAAACAGGAAGTACCAAAAATACAATAAAACCAGAAACAAGACTGCAAAGCACTCAACCTGCAGAATCACCCATGACACCTTTGGTCTTTAGCCTGGTGCGGCTTTGATCACTGGACCTCAGGGACCTGCTGGGGGTGTAGGGACTAAGAAGATCACCAATGTAAGATGGTGCTTGTCCATGTAAGGCCCTATAGACCAGAACCAGGATCTTGAAATGAACCCTGGAGTTGACTGGCAGCCAGTGAAGCTAGAGGAGAAGCGGGGTGATGTGGGTGTGTTTGGAGGACTTGGTCAGAAGCCAAGCACAGGCATTCTGAACCACCTGTAGACGGTTCAGGGAGGTTCTGCTCAGACATGTGAAAAGAGAGTTACAGTAGTCTAAGCGTGAGGAGATGAAGGTGTGGATGACTGTCTCAAGTTCAGAGCGGGACAGAGTGGGACTCAGCTTAGCAATGTTCCTGAGATGGAAGAAGGAAGAGCAAACAAGAGAACTGACATGAGAATCCAGGGTGAGAGCTGGGTCAAAGGTCACACCAAGATTCCTGACAGAAGGTTTGGTGTAAGAAGCAAGCTAACCAAGAGAGTCTCTGACTTTGGGAACCAGCTTGTCTGGGGCACAGATGAGGATCTCAGTCTTATCTTCATTCAGCTGAAGAAAGCTCCCAGCCATCCAGGTTTTGATAGAGTCTAAGCAGGTGTGTAACAGCTGCAGCTTAGACATCTCATGGGGCTTAAAGGAGATGTATAGTTGGATGTCATCTGCATAAATATGGTAGGAGATTTCTTTGAAGGAGCTCAGGATGTGCTGAAGAGGAAGCAGATAGAGGAGGAAGAGCAGAGGCCCCAGCACAGAACCTTGTGGGACACCATGGGTAAGAGAGGTGGTGGAGGATCTAAACCATATAGCTTCACTGTCCAGAATGTGTACTTTGTCATCTTCAGAGGTGTGTCCCTTGTCCTTCAGGTGTAGGTGGACTGCAGAGTCTTGACCTGAAGAGGTGGCTCTCCTGTGCACTGCAACCCCGAATAAGTTCACTGACCTCAAAATTTATGAGGAAACTGATTACCTAATAATTTTTAAGTCAACTTATCTAAAAACTATGTTTACCATAACCTAAAAAATATGACCTGAATAAAATCAAAGCATTTAACTACCTCCAGCCTATAACTTAGCACTTAAGCAACTTACAAAGTTTTATTGCACTAAACTTGCATATTTTATTTTATTTGAACTTCATTACATGTTTTGACTAACTTAAATAATATAACTTATATGAACTCTAAATTGACCTATTAAACCCTTACCCAAATAAGATGAATTTACTTAAACATGACAATGTGGCAGGCTGGTGAAGGCAGTAACTAACACCAGATCATGACTCACACACCCCTAGATGCTAACAGCTAATGAAAGTGGGACACTCAAAGTCAAGTCAAGAGTATCTGGTGTGAACAACCACAGTATTAACAAATGGGACGGCACAGCCATACAGCATTATTTTGACCAACCTCATCACTTATGGGGCTAACATGATACAAAAAGTAACACCACATCTGCAACACTGAATGAAATAATAACTGAGAACAACAATCCTCCACAATGAACATGCATAAACACCCCAAAATAGAGCAAAATAACAGAAAATATGACTACCCACAATGTACCACGCCCAGCAGTTGTTTACTGCTCCTGCAATCCATCAAAATTGCTAGTTTGTGGTTGTTTTTCCTGGAAATCCACATTTAAAAAAAAAACCCGATACAAGTCTTTTTATCAGACACACTTTAGAGTTGACGTAAAGACGAATGGAATAACATAGAAACATAAAATAATAAATCAATCATTTTTTTGTTAATATTACTCATTAAAGTTAAGTTGTCTTTTATTGATTAATTAAAGTTATGCTTACATAAAAAAGAAATAGTTCAGATTAATTAAAACGGTTGAAAAGGTTGAACAAGCTCAACACATTTTAGTTCTAAAACATTTTTTTTTATTATGAGTAATATCTACTCAATATATTTGATTATTTTGAACTTTTGGGTTTACAGTGTGCTGTGCCATGCTCTTGTGTAATTGTTGTTTAGTTTCCCCAGTGTAAAGGTCTGGACAGTACTCACAACATTGGACTGCATAAATGATGCCACTAAGCTTCTGTTTGGGTATTTTGTCTTTTGGATGGACTAGTTTCTGTCTGAAGGTGTTGTTGGGTTTAAAGTTTACTGGGATGTTGTGTTTGGAGAAGATTCTTCTAAGTTTCTCCGAGACTCCTGCCACGTATGGGACGACGATCCCTTAGCGCCTGAGCAGAGGTGTAACTGAATAGATCTGATTCAAATTGAGGCCATGCACTGAATTATTGTATTCAGATTCTTTTTTTTTTTTATTTTGCACATGAAAAGTTAATTTCGTTTAAAATGGTTTAAATAGCTTAAAATGAACCCCTGTCACCAAAACCTGAGTGTTTTTAATAATCTTAGACTAAAGAGGACAGAGAGGAGGCCATGTTGTTTCTCAACACCAACACTTACCCACTTCATCCCTGATTCTGGCGAGCTCCAAGGACAGTTCCTTCTCTTTCACAATGGCGCTCTCATTCTAAAACACAAAAAAGATGAAAAATTATATTTTAAGATAATTTATATTAGGATGGATCATTTAGGCCTTTGTCTAGAAAGCTTGGACACCTAGCCTAAGAGGTTGTTACCTTTAAGATGGATGTTTAGTTCCTATTCCAAATAAAATGTGCACAAATGTTCAAAAACTATAGTAAACAAATAAGTTTTATAAATATGCATATGGGCTGCATGGTGGCGCAGTGGTTAGCACTCTTGCCTCGCCTTGCTTGGGAAAAGCATGCGAGCTTGGGAAGAGCATGCACTGACGGCCCGATCACCGGACACATGGCGGCGAGTTGAAGCAGATGGCAGCTTGTTAATCAACTTCCACAAACAATTATGACAGATTTTCGCCTAAATTACTCACTGACAATGCAAAAAAAATTAATAAATCTGGTAAATAAAACACACTCAACCTGGAGGTAAGTGGAGAAAATGTAGAAAATTTGCAAATATATATTGACGAGGTTTTTGAGATTTTTGTCATGGGACCAAAGAAAGCAGCAGCAGCTGAGACGGAAACACCTGGGACCAAGAGGAGCCGTCCCCAGGACTCGCCCGAGGCCTCATCTCCCCATAAGGATGTCTTAGATTTACTACAGTCCATAGATAAACGGCTTCTGGAATTTTATGGGCAACTCCACCTGCTAGAGCTGCTTCACAAGGAATTCCAGGACCTCCGAACATCTCTGGAGTTTAGCCAGGAGCAGGTGGAGCGGCTCGCGGCTGAGAACGCGTCTCTGCGGGAATCGGTTTCCTCCTTAACTGCAGGAATAGATCGGATCTCCCAGGACAACAAAGTTCTAAAGGAGACGGTTCTGGCTCTCCAATCACGCAGCATGAGAGACAACCTGGTGTTCGCAGGCCTTCCAGAGCAGACCGGAGGAGAAGCGGAGGATTGCAAACAAACCATCAAGAACTTTCTCCACACCCACATGAAGATACCTGAGGAAACTGTTGGAAACATCACCTTTCATCGGGTACATGGCCTTGGAGCCAGGAGAACAGACAGCAGAAGACCTCGTCCCATCGTGGCTAAATTTGAGCACTTTAAGCAGAGGGATCTTGTCAAAAGCCACGGGAGGGAGCTTAAAGGTAAAGACTACAGCGTAAACGACCAGTTTCCTAAAGAAATTCTGGATCGCCGCTGAGTTCTCTTCCTGCTGCGCAAGAAGTTTATCCAGGATGGGAAGCGGGCTGTGACCTCCGTGGATAAACTGTTTGTTGACGGCAAGATCTACAAAGAACGAGGAGTAACAGACTGGCTTTATTAGACAAACTTCAGGTACAACTTTATTATTATTAACAGCACTCACTGGGTTTGAACATGTCAGGATTTATAGCTGCTAGATCCGTTTAGAAATGTTCACCTGTTCCCTCACCACCTCACACCCACAGCAATTTTTCTTTTCTTTCTTCTTCTTTCCTTTTTTAACCTTTATAATTCCCTTCTTTCCCTTTTTTTATCTGCTTCTGGGTCTTTACATCTGCATGGCACAATTTTTTTTCCCACACTGCAGCACACAACTTGCGCGCGCACACACGCGTGGAGTTGCGTGTTCTCCCCATGCATGCGTGGGTTTCCTCCGGGTACTACGTTTCCCCCCACAGATCACAACATGCCCTATAGGTTATAAATTGTAAGTCGCTTTGGATAAAAGCATCTGCTAAATAAATAAACACAAACATAAATATGAAAATGTGTGAATAAAAACTTTCCATATTTGCCACCTTCATTTCATTAAATTTATTTTATATTAGTATGAAATTTCAAAAACAATAACCCTTGACAGTTTCAGTACTTTCTAGAATGAGACATTTCAAAGCTCTTTCACTTTAAAAAACAACCTGGTGCTGGCCACGCACCCTTCCCCCGATCATGCTGCTATAAGCTGAGAAGCTCAGATATCCAAGAGAGGCTCGGAGTAGCAGCTGCTCTGCGAAGAAGAGGTGGTTTTATTTTGATTTTTCCTCATGTGTGACATCACAAATTAGGACTTTTTAAAACAACTAATTTTAGGCACGTACTTCCTAAAATCAAACACTGACAGAAAACAGATGGAGGGGTTTCTCATGTGTGGTGCTTATAAAGGCAGAGACAAATGCCCCCTTTAAATGTTTAAATACCACCAAAAAGCCATTTAAATCATTTATATAACTCAGCCCAGCCCGCCGTGTGTCGGTGAGGGTGACACCCTGAAAATAAAAAAAAATCATTAAAGGAAGAGAGAAACTTTTTAAAATAATTTTATCCTCCATTATGGCTGCACAAACAAATCACTAAACAACTCAGCAGCAGCAAAGAGACAAACCAATAAGAGAGGTTATGAAACAGTTCAAGTGTGTCTCAGCACTAATGATGTCATCCTCTAAGGTTTTTCCTGGAACCAGACTGAGGTGACCTCAGGAGGGATGAAGCACAGCTGGCACTGCTTCATGTAATGAAGCTCCGCCCCCTGCTACCAGAATTACCCAGCTCCTTCCAATGATTTTTCATTTTGGTGTTCAATAGAATAAAAACAAACTAGCTGTTCTGCTCCTCGCACTGCAGGAAAACATTAAAACATCAGAACAAAGGACATTTAGACAGGTTAATGGTTGTCCTCGTTCGTGAGAAATATAAAATAATTGTTAAATATTTATTTCAGTTAAAAAATAAAAATACTAATGCTTTTAGCTGTTTCAGACCAAGTAATAAACATGATAACCACCATATTTTCTATATTTCCCTATATTAAAAAAAACAATCATAAGTTTTAGATTTTTTTATAAAGCTAGAATATAATTTGATTGAAAAGAATTTAAAATGAATAAAAAAGAATATGCACACTAATATTTACACCCCAAAACAATGAATGAAATGCAGGAATAGGAGCAATTTCCTCTTTGTTTTGTCCCTACAAACTCTAAAGATGGACCGACAGCTTTGACTCAGGATCTTTCTGCTCTCTGGCAGCTCAGTCGCTAGGAAACAAAATCATGAGGATACAGACTCACACCCTCATCACTAAACACACACATGCGCACAAGCACGGATGCATAAAGGAATCCCTGATGCTGACTCAAGCTTCCTGCCTGGCTGCAGTAGATGCTGCCATTACCGTTTGTTCCAGACTGCACAAAGGGAGGAGAGGAGGTCTGCAGCAGCGGTGGCCCATACCAGCCCAGAAAACAGCAGCATCCCTCAGCCTGATGAGGAGGCAGCGGCGACACACGCCAAGAGTAGAGCAGGATACAGAAAAAAGGTGAAGAGGGGAGGGAGCAGGCAGGGTAAGGAGAGGGGAGGAGAGTCGGAGTAGACAGAAGCCTCACCTCATTTTCTGATCTGTGAGCATCGTTTGTCCTGCTGGAACAAAGATGGCCAGACCCAGCCCAGTTCTGACTGCCCTCCCCTCAAAGCCCAGCAACACGCCCCGTATCACATTAATACGCACGGCAAGGAGCCACACACACACACACACACACACACACACACACACACACACACACACACACACACACACACACACACACACACACACACACACACACACACATGAATCCCAGAGGAAAAGAAATAAACTGAGTTACAGGAGAAGATGGGAGAGGCTCTCCCATCTTTTCCTGTGTGATTCGGGAGCAGCGAATTCAAACTGCAGCTCGGAGGGTGTCTCGCAAATAAAATTCAAACTGTGCAAAAAGCTTATAAAATAAAATATAATATCCCATTGAATCAACCACAAGTTGAAATTCATTTTTATCTTCTGCGAGTTTTCACTTGGACCAAAGTACCAAAGCACAGAATGCAGCTCTGCAAAAATACAGCAGCAAGATAATAACAAACACTTCCCTAAACTGATTATATTATTATTATTATTATTATTATTATTATTATTATTATTACTTATAATCCTAAAATAACACTGACATCCGTTCTCAGAAGTGCCTCGATTGTGTGAATTTTTACTTTTTAAAGCTTTTCAAGGTGTTCTGACAATCTAAAGATACGTGCTGGAGCTGAAGCAGGAGCTCTGACCTCATTAATCATCTCCTGTAAAACTCCTGACCGCGGCTGAGTGGCAGATCAGACATAAGCAGGATTCACAGTGGTTCCCAAAGTTGGGGTCGGGACCCCACTGTGGTAGCCTGACCAGCCTCTGGGGACTCTCCTATTCAAATAACCCCACCTTCTGAGAATTCTAACCGAGCCAATCAGAGCTGAGCAGCGTACGTCTCACACACACCGCAACGCCGAGTTTCTCACAAATAGGGAGTCTGAAGCGGAGTCCGCGGCAGCTCTTTCCTCTGTTCTAAATTACTTGGAAATGTCTTTAAAACCACAAGAAGAAGCTCTAAAAGCATTTCTTCTAAAGAAAAGATGTTTGCGCTGTCGCCCGACGACATTTTTGACTACAGCTAAAAAACTACAACGTCGTGCGGTACAGTCGGCATTTCCACCATTTTTCTAATCGGTTATTTTTAGCTGATTAGTCCCGCCCCTCACGTGTCTCTCTGCCTGTGAGCAACCAGACACTTTTGGCTTGTTTTAAGCACCCCGTATCATCTGTCAGTGAAAATGAAAGTGAAACTCTTATTGCTGTGCGTTAGTCTTTTTAACATCTTAATCTAACAGTTGAAACAGCCTTAATTAGTTTCTACAGGAGTGACTCATCACTAAATCAAACAAATCAGCTGGGTTCATGATTTAAAACCTGAAGAAAACGAGCTGGAAGCATGTCAGCTCCACTTTACTTAAGAGTCACAAGGACAGCCTGCTACTCTGAAGTTGCAAGTGCGGTATTCTGGCACATTCTTATGTAATCTATGGTCAGTAGTTCTCATTTACATAAAGTCCTACCTAATTTCAGTACAAATAAGCAGAAATCAGAATTGGACCTATACTACCTGATGAATAAAGTACAAAAAGCCCAAATGCTTTTCCTTTAGAAAACTAAAAGACACACTCTTTTAAAACAGTTTTTTTTACAAAGATGTTTGCTGGAAAAAAAAATGAAAATCCTGCAACAGAGTTTCTTACAAATCAAAGTAGAAGTCAGCTTTTGTGAACAAAGTGATGCTGACGACCAAAGACGAACGCCACAGGTGTCGCTTGTAGACGTGTGCTCAAGCTTACAATTAGGTCCTGTTGGATGCTGATGGTCCAAAAATGAAAGTGTTAACGACAAAAATGGCATGATGTGCTCTCTAAAATGTATTATGTATGTGCTTCATTAAATGGTAAATGGCCTGTATTTGATCTAGTACCTTCTAGAGTCCTGGGACCCCCCAAGGCGCTTTACAACACAATCAGTCATTCACACCATGGTGGTGATAAGCTACATTGTAGCCACAGCTGCCCTGGGGCACACTGACAGAGGCGAGTCTGCCTCACACAGGCGCCACCGGTCCCTTCGACCACCACCAGCAGGCAAGGGGGGATGAGTGTCTTGCCCAATGACACAACGACAGCAACACACTGAGCAGGGCTCGAACCTGCAACCTTCTGATTACAGAGCAAGCACTTAACTCCTGTGCCACCATCGCCACTCATTAACCAAAAGGCAGAAAAAAAACAATAATTGGGATTTTGACATTTTTTTTGTAAATGAATTAGTTCAACATATACAGTCAAATAGCTGCAACTACGGGTTCAACATAAAACAACCCAGAAGCTAATCTGGTGGGATCTGAGATTCATCAGATAAATCAAGGATTTTATAAATCAATTCTTACACAATCTCTAAAAGAGAAGGAGTGACATCACAACCCTACCTTGTGGCAGAAGTGCTGAGTAGTGACGCTGAAAACATCCAGACACAGACAGGCCGTCTTTAACTGGGCCTGGAGTTTCTGCAGCTGCACGGCCTGCTGCGCACATCGATCCTGCAGCTGCTGGATCAGAGCTCGGTCCAGTTCCTGCGCTGTACCCGTCCGAGCTGCTGTCGTTCTTCCACGCGCTGAACAATCAGGATAAGCAGCAACAATGCTTTTACTTAGGGCTTTAAATCTGATTTAACAAAATAAGAAACATTTTGAGGTTTAATTGAGTTTGTTGTGATCATCTGGTGTTTCTGTTTGTTCTCTTTCAGTTCAAACGCTGACAGATTTCCTGTAGTTAAACTACAGTGGTAGTAATAAATAGCCTCTCCAGCTCGGTGTTATTGCTCTGTGCTTACTGCACTCAGCAACCGTACATCAACCTTCAGCAGTCCATTCCTAACAGTCAACAGTTCGATTGGTCTGCTCAGGCTTTTCCACCATCATGAGTACCGCCCTGAACCAGATGGGGGGAAAGGTTAACCGAAGAGAAGCTAACAAAAACACCCAAACTCTGATCATGAATGTAAAACATATTTAAGGTCATTTCTCTAAACCATAAATGGAGAAATCAGCTGTTATTACTGTATTGTCTCTAATTTGCAGTAATCTGATTCCAGCTGAATATCTGCTCGGGGAACCATCGTAGCATTCAGGCTGTACCCTGGAATGTTGCTATGACGACACATGAGTGCCAGGGGTACAGTTTGGGAGTGACGCGCATTTTAAAGTCCCGGTAGCAGCTGATGTGTGGTTCTGCCTTTAGATTCAAACGGAGCGGTGGGACAGACTCACCTGGTGACTGCGTTTTAGGTGGAACCACAGCGAACCTTTTAGGGTAGGATTTAGGCGATGGCGCAGCCTCGATGTCCTTCTGCAGCTCTCCTCTAGGAGCTGAGCAGAAAAACAAATCATCTGATTTCAAATGCTCATATTTAAAACACAATGAAGCAATGAATGCTAAATAGATTCTAGTATCATAATTAATTTTTAGGGTCCACACGAATGTGGTAAATGGTGTTTGATATACACTTTCTACGTTTATGCACAGGTGGACCGGCTTATCTGGCTTTCTGGCACTGTCCCGCTACAGAAATCATTTAACAGGGCAGTCTGCCTTACGCGGACCAAGAAAAAGCAAATACACCCTTTTTAGAAATAAACGACTTTGGTACCTGTTCATGTCACAAAGAAATCCCAAGTCCAAAACGTCCAAAGTTAATGCCAACGCTCGACTGGGTTGTTTTAGTGGCTCGTGGCCAGAATATACATTTACATATAGTTGGTTTACGTCAAGAAACAGTTAAAATAGTGACGTTGTCAAGATCTCTAGAACATCAGCTGATTAAATAAAACTTTGAATAGACATGCATTGATTCTGGTTTTGAAGGCTGATACCAATTTTTCTGATTTAAATTGATTAATCAATCAATCAATCAATCAATCAATCAATCAATCAATCAATCAATCAATCAGATTTTACTTATGAAGTGCTTTTCAAGCAAAAAGTGTGACTTAAAGTTCTTTACAGAATTAAAATGACCCCAAAACAGTTTAAAAGCATTAACAGTCACACACACACACACACACACACACACACACACACACACACACACACACACACACACACACACACACACACACACACACACACACACACACACACACACACACACACACACACACACACACACACACACACACACACACACACACACAATAACATCAGTAAGAATTATATTTTTATGTTTTTGCTGAGCTCAAATGAGCCAAGTAAGGTAAGGCACAGAAACGCCAACAGAGAAGCCATCTGCCCTGGCAGCATCAGGTCAACCACAGCAACCAAGTCAGAGCACCCTAGAGGAGGGAGGGCATACACCCTCACCACCACTCAAGCACTACCTGTAGGGTGCTCAGGCAGCAGCGGCTGACGACCACCCCTGGGACAGAGTGCCCCCACAGAGAAAACACTACAAGAAAATCTAAAAGAACTATGTTTATATTTATGTTGATGTATTTAGCAGACACTTTTGTCCAAAGCGACTTACAAGTGAATATGAACTATATTATTTATCTATGACTTTCCACACAGGATAGCTGCTATTTTTGTGTGAATTAGTGCGAAGAGATCAACAGTAAAATAGTTTTTATTGCTGCTTTGCAAAGGAAAAATCTTTATAAAGCTGATCTTTGATTAGGTCGATCAATGGCCCATTTTTTGGTTGCATCTGAAATTATAAGTACTAGATCATTTAAAGTGTATGCAGACAAATTTAGCACTCATTTAACATTTATATTTTGCACTCTGATTCAGAAACAGCAGTCAATCTGTCTGCATCCAGATTCTAAATCCTGAATTAATACAGAGGTTTTATTCAGAGGCCACTAGTTGGAGATGCTGCTAATCCTAGCATCACACAGCTTGGCCACCAGGTGGCGCTGATCTCCTGATGTTAGAACTGTTGGTAATCATTTTTTAGCCACAACAAAAACATAAAAAATGAAATGCAATTCCAAAAATATTGCAGTTGTACAAACACAACATTATTTATCTAGTTTAGATCAAACATAGGCATGAAAATGCAAAAAGATGAATATGTTTTCCTGCCAGATATTTTCCCTACCTGATAACCTGCTTTAATGTGGCTAAACTGTCTCTTGATTTTTTTTTTGTAGTTCAATAAATTATTGATATTGTTACAATGACAGTTCTAATGGTAAATGCAATTAGCTGTTTCACAACTGCTAGTTATATTCAAAACTTCCCAAATCCCAGCTGTTTTTTCTAAATTATACCCCAAACACAGGATCACACACAGGATCTTGAATGTAAAATTAAAAATGACGTTTCTGCATTTAAATACCTACAGTAAGTCCAATTTGTTAGAGTAATATTAGCCATACTTGTGCAGTATCCTGAAAAAGTATATTATTTCTAAAGTACCAACAAAGTTAGTATTTAGATGCTGCAGCTGAATGATCCAACGGAGCAAATGTCAGTATTTTTTCTGCACTTTTGATGGAGATTTTTTTTGAAGAAAATGACATCTTTGCACCAGGATTAGATTGTTGCATTGTTAATCCAGAGCCAGAATAATGCTTGTGGTCCAGAACTGAAACCAACTTGGTGATTACGCATTGTGTTAAACAGAAACAGGATGTGTGTTTGCTTCTGTGTTGACATGTTCTGTGTTTGTGCCGAACAGCGCAGCCAGGTTTCTGACTGGGACCAGGAAACGGGACCACATCAGTCCGGTTCTGGCCTCCCAGCACTGGCTTCCGGTGTCAGTACAAGATCTGCTCGGGTGCAAGATCGGCTCGGGGTCCATCGACTGCCAATGACGTCAAAGTACGGCAAACCCACTCGGACAAAATACACTACACATCTATACTGTTGGAAAGAATTTAGCAGTTTCGTTATTAAAATAATGTTTCTTAAGACGTAATTTTGTGTTTATAATGGTATTTGTAAAATAAAACACTATATGTTATTCATAATGTTGAAGTCCTCTTTGAGCACATCCCTTGAAGGATCATAGGTATTAGCAACACCTGTGAAATTGTATTTGCAGGAAAGAAGTGTGTCCCGTTTATTGAAGTATTTTGTGTTTAGAGTTTTTGACGTCTTGTCCATGCGTAGTTCATTTACGCTCATAGCTGCTAGCCAAAAGTCTGGAGTTAAAAGTTTTCTGGCTTTACTAAAAAACCTGTCTGTACTTATTTGACTGATGGTAGTTTTACTTTCTATTAGACTCCAAATGTAATCATTTGGCACGTTTCTAATTCATAATTTGTAAGAATGTAATCGGTGATATTAGCATTAGCATTCCTATGGGTTTTTCCACATATATTAGCATTGCGCTAACCACTCGCTGCCAAATTGCAGCCTTTGCAATTAGAAAATCTCCTTTTGTCACATCGCAATTTAATTGCACATGCAGTTAATCGTTCAGCTCTAATATACATGCAGCTCTATGCTAAAAGTGTATTTTCAAAGAGGTAATGATGGATTCCTTTGTAAAAGTTGTCCATCTTTCCAACAAAAAAATTTGCCTGGACCAACGTAACGTGGTAATAACGTAACGTGACTATGTAATTCCGTAAGGTTCATGTTCAGCCAATCAACTACTTTGATGTCATCGGCAGTCAACGGACCCCGAGCCGAATTGCACCCGAGCAGATCTTGTACCGATACCGGTCTGTTATTGTTCACTCTTTAAACTCCTGGTCTTTGTTTACAATTTCTTCCAGGGTGGTGCCCCCCCATCTAGCCACACTGCTGAACAGAAATTCCTCATCACGCGCTCTGCGCTCTTCTGACCAATGCCTGCTCGCGGTCCCTCGTTCTAGGTGTCGTACTCGTGGGGACAGGGGTTTCTCAGTCCTAGCTCCGTCACTCTAGAACCAGTTGCCCCCCTCAGTTAGGCTGTCCCCATCTCTGCCGGTCTTTAAGAGTCGCCTAAAAACCCACCTCCTCTACTTGGCGTTCCCTGAATGTGTTTGAGGTCGGCCCACTTTTACGTTGATTTTATTTCCCTGTTTTCATTGGTCTCTTTATCCCTTGTTTTATCCATTTGTTTCTACTTTAATGTTTTACCTTATTTCATTTTTATTTTTTACACTATTTGAATTGCTTTTATTATCTATTTATTCATTGTGTTTAAGATTTCTTATGTACTGTGTTCAGCGCCTTGGGCTTCCTGACAGGGCTTTAGAAATAAAGCTTTGATTGATTAATTGATTGATTCTGACTGTGCAATGTACCGAATGGGGAGCCATGCTGCGGCGGCAGGCTGTGGCGCTGGAGGTTTGGGGCATTGGGGGCCTGAGGTTGAGTCTGAGCGAAGGATGCTTCACTAAGATGTGTGGTGGCTCTATAAAGAGGTGTGTCATCACTGCCAGAGCTGGGATCTGCAGAGTGGAGATAGAAATATAGCAAGTGAGGGATGGAATAATCCAGAACTAATTCCATACCCTATTAAAATAATCTTCAATTCATTATTTTTTATGTGTGATCTCTGGATACATTAACTGCATCAACATATTCCTGTAAAAAAATAACACACTGAAAGTGAACTCAAATAAAGTTTTATTATATTTCAAATAGCTTTCTTTTGGCAAGTATGTAATTAATTTTGCAATTTTTACTATTCTTCCACAAAAACTAGCAAAAAATCTTATTGTTGTTGTAAACATCTAAATTATTCATAACCAGTTAATAAACCGGCAGCTTTCACTGGGTTCGCTCAAACTGAAGAATTCAGCAAAAACGATTTCTTAAAATGACTTGAAATTAACACAAGAATCAAGATTACGCTTCTTCACACTCATAATACATTTTATTTAATGTAAACTAATCATTTCCAACTATTTCCAGACAGAAACGTAAACATTTAGCTTAACTCTGTCAGTGTAAGTGAAGAACCACAACCCAGACGGATTGAGTTCCTTATAAAATATTCAGCTCTTCAATCAATGACTTGTGCTGACACAAGCTGCAGGTAATATTAGACTTTGAAAAGGAAAGAAGAGGAAGGAGAAGCAAATACCCTTGAATTATAATGATAATATCTCTAAGAATTAACAGGAGGGTGAATATGAAAGGCAGAAATTTGATTCTTCCTGGATGTTTTCTTCTCGTTCAAAAAGGACGTTAGCAGTTGCCCAGGCTAGCATTAGCAGTCACTAGGATCAGGATTAGCAGTTGCTAAGGCTAGTGTTAGCAGTAGCTATGATTGGGGTTAGCAGTAATCAAATCAAATCAACTTTATTTATATAGCACTTTTCATACAAAAAAATGCTACTCAAAGTGCTTCACAGATTAAAATGGCCCCATAGATCCCATATTCCCATCCCAGCCCCCCTCCCCAAGTATAAAACAATTGACAATAACGGTTCCCCTCCCGCACCCAACTTCCAAAGTGGACATACAATCACCCGCACACTCGTCCACACACACACACACACACACACACACACACACACACACACACACACACACACACACACACACACACACACACACACACACACACACACACACACACACACACACACACACACACACACACGAACAACAGAGGAAACAATAGGCTGAGTTCAGATGGGTCAGGTAATGAACGACACATCATCTTAGGAGCATCATCAGGGAGCATCATCAAGGATCAGTGTTAGCAGTTGCTAAGCCTAGTGTTAACAGTAGCTCTGATTGGGGTTAGCAGTAGCTCAGGTTAGCATTAGCAGCAGCACTGATTAGGGTCAGCAGCAGCTTAGGTTAACGTTAGAAATAGTTCGGGCCAGGGTTAGCAGCAGCTCAGGCTCGCGTAGCAGTAGCAATAGGGTTAGCAGTAGCTCAGGTTAGCATTAGCAGCAGTACTGATTAGGGTCAGCAGTAGCTTAGGTTAGCGTTAGAAATAGCTCGGGCTAGGGTTAGCAGTAGTTGAGGATAAGAAAAGCAGTAACTCGGGCCAGGGTTAGCAGCAGCTCAGGCTAGCGTAGCAGTAGCTCTATTAAGGTTAGCAGTAGCTCAGGATAGTGTTAGCAGTAGCTCAGGCTAGCATTAGCAGTAGCTCATGCTAGCAGTAGCAGTAGTTTGGGCCAGGGTAAGCAGTAGCTCAAGATAACATCAGTAGCTCGGACCAGGGTAGCTTGGGATAGAATTGTTCTGTGGTTAGCATTATTGTGACCAAGTATGCTGAAGTGGGTTGGAACCGGTTGGGACATGCACATTTAAAGCTGCTTTTGGAGTTTTCCCCTTTCAGAAATTAGGTACGATTTGTCAGAAATCCGTAAAAGTGATTATCTTATCATATGCCAGATGGTGAAATCCAGGTCATGTTTCAGTGAAATATCGTCTCTGCAGCCCAGATATTGAAATCTTGGCAGTAAAGCTTGGTTTATGCTTGACGCGTCCACAAGGTTTGCATGGCTCCGCGCGGCAAAATTGCATCATTTTAACAGCCACGCCCCTCCACCGCACCTCCACACGGCCCAAACTTTCCACACCGCTCACCTAGGAAATTTTCTAACCACGCGGACGGTCGGACGCGGAAAAACATGGCGGACTGGCAAGAACTAGTATGGCAGAGGTTTGTAAATGCAGACATTTGTATGATTCAGCTCTCAAAGATCACCATGATCAACATGTTGTTAATAATTCTTGGAGAGAAATAGCTTACACTGTCGGAAAAGATGAGGACGCTGTTGAAAAATGCTGGAATGCCATTTTGTAAACAACAGTAATTTTTACTTCTACTATGGTGTAGTGTTGGATGCAAGCCGTAGAGCTCCATGCTGCCCCGTTCAGTTTGGGAGAATATTGGCTCACCGCAGAGACAAGCCGCATGAACCATAAACTCTGCAAGTTGTGAAGCACGTTCCGTCCGCGAGCTGCATCACCAAGCAGAAAGTAAATGCGTCAAGCATAAACCAAGCTTAAGTTGTCACCCATATTATTTGTCAAGAGAGTTCACCAGTGTTGTCTTGGCAACCATTTATATTCCACCTTCAGCCATTGCTGAAAGTGTATGTGATGCCATCAGTTCCGTTGTCGCTAAGCTACAAACCCAGCACCCCAATGCATTTGTGGCTATATCTGGTGATTTTAATCACAGCTCTCTGCTACGCTTCCAACATTTCATTTTGTCAGCTGCTCCACCAGAGAAAGCAATACATTGGGTTTGTGTTATGCAAATGTAAAGAATGCATACATGTCCAAATCCAGACCTCCTCTGGGGCAATCAGATCACAATCTTGTTTTTCTCTACTCAGAATGCAAACCACTTGTTCAGAGGCAACTTGTGACAAGAAGAACTGTGAGAAAATGGTCCCAGGATGCTGAAGAAGCCCTGCAGGGTTGTTTTGAGACCAAAGATTGGATGAATCTCTGCCAAGGATATGAAGAGGACACCCATGCCATGACTGGATGTGTCACTGACTATATAAACTTCTTTGTGGACAACATCATACCCACCAGAACAGTGAGATGCTATGCTAATAACAAACCCTGGATCACCAGTGAACTGAAGAATCTGCTAAATGAGAAAAAAGAGGGAGACAGTGAATTATTGAGGAGTATACAGAAGCAACTGAAGATCAAGATCAGAGACAGCAAGGAGGCATACATGAAGAAGCTGGAGAACAAACTACAGAGGAACAATATCAGAGATGTCTGGTCAGGGATGAAGAAGATCACAGGCTTCAAGCAGAGGAAGGATTGCACAGATGGCAGCCTGGACACAGTTAATGAACTGAACAAGTTCTTCAATAAGTTCAGTTCAGGAACAAACCCAGCATCCTCCTCGCCTGTCCCCAGCCAATCAGACATCCCATCCTCCTCTGATCCAACATTTTCCTGTCACACGCCAGCTCTTTTGTCCTCTAACACAGTCATGGACTCTTCTGGTTCTATAAATCTGTCTTCAACCAAGTCAGGAGATGCTGCTGCCCCATTTACCTCCCCCACCCTCTCTGTCTCTAGAAGTCAAGTGAAGGGGCAGCTGGAGAGACTGAACAAGAACAAGGCTGCAGGTCCAGATGGTGTCAGTCCCAGACTACTGAAGGCATATGCAGAGCAGCTCTGTGGGATTCTGCAGCACCTCTTCAACCTCAGGCTGGCCCAGGAGAAGGTTCCAATCCTGTGGAAGACATCCTGCCTTGTTCCAGTTCCAAAGAAAACTTGCCCATCAGACTACAGACCGGTTGCCCTGACATCCCACATCATGAAGGTCCTGGAGAGACTCCTATTAGTCCAGATGAATAAGGAAACTAGGACATATCAGGACCCGCTGCAGTTTGCTTATCGCCATGGAGTTGGAGTTGAAGATGCCATCATCCAGCTGCTTCAACCAACCCACTGCCATCTGGACAAAGCAGGCAGCACTGTGATGGTCGTGTTCTTGGATTTCTCCAGTGCATTAATACAATGCAGCCTGATGTACTTTGCCAGAAACTCCAGAAGACACAGGTGGGGGCCTCAACTATCACCTGGATTAAAGACTACCTGACAAACAGACCACAGTTTGTGAGGCTGAAAAACTGCACATCAAACCAGGCGATCAGTAACATTGGAGCACCACAGGGGACTGTACTCTCACCATTCCTTTTCACCCTGTACACCTCAGACTTCCAGTACAAATCAGAGACCTGTCATCTACAGAAATACTCAGATGACTCTGCAGTTGTCGGGTGTATCAGAGATGGACAGGAAGCTGAGTACAGAGAGCTGGTGGAGCGCTTTGTGGCATGGTGTGGAAGCAATCATCTGACCTTGAACGTGAACAAAACAAAGAAGATGATTTTGGACTTCAGAAGAAACAGGGTGGAGTCAAACACTGTTTCCATCATGGGAGAGGAAGTGGAGGTGGTTGAGGAATACAAATACCTTGGAGTTCACCTGGACAACAGACCGGACTGGAGAAAGAACAGCGAAGCCCTTTACAAGAAGGGACACAGCAGACTGCACTTCTTGAGGACGCTTAGGTCCTTCAATGTCTGTAGCAAGATGCTGCAGATCTTCTACAAGTCTGTTGTTGAGAGTGTAATTTCTTCAGCCATCGTCTGTTGGGGTAGCAGCATCAGAAGCAGGGACCTGAAAAGGCTCAACAGTAATAACAAAGGCTGGCTCTGTTCTGGGGACGACCGTGGAACCACCGGAGGAGATAATGCAAAGAAAGATTCTCCAGAGAATCAACAAAATTATGGACAACCCTGAGCATTCTCTTCACAAGACTGTCCGACAACGGAAGAGTGTCTTCAGTCAGAGGCTTCTTCAGTTTGGCTGCAACACTGACCGCTACTGGAAATCCTTCCTGCCAACAGCCATTGTAATATACAATAACTCTTTGATGACTTGATTATTATTATTATTCTGAGCTACTACAGCAATCAATTTCCCTCTGGGATTAATAAAGTATTTTTGAATTGAATTGAATGTACTGTGATGTAATGTAAGCAATACATCTATTTTTTTTTATTTTTTGCTAAGCACGCCCCCTGCCCTGCAGAGCTCCATGCAATAGGAAACTGAGCGCCGACCAGAACTCACCAATAGCGTTAGACTACTGCTTACTTGCTTCAAATTTAAGGAATACCTCGGCTGATGCAGAGTTGATGAACTTTTCACAGACAAGTAAATCTCTAAAATATAAATATATGAAAACACAACATGACATGAGAATAATACTCGTAAAACAACGTGTTTTAGCTCTGTTTGTCAGCTACAGAAGCACGTCTATGAACAGAAACGTGAAATCTCCATATTAAAAAAACAGAGCAATTGAGTTTTTGTGTGATATGCTTGTCAGCCACTAGATGGTGCCATCGGATAAGAGAAATACTCCGGAAAGAAGCTTTAAGGGTGTCTCTAAGCTTATGATGTGTTTAACCAGCTTTTCACAGCAGCCATCCCAACATTACTAATTTGTACAGGAAAGCAGATCGGACATGGCACAGACCTTTTGGCGCATTAGGACACCTTTATTCAACAAAGTAAACGTTTTGAATTCTTGGACACCTTCAGTTCATCTGAGTGTCAGAATGCTCAAGGTCTGTGTGTTATTCAGAGGGAATGCAGTAACTTTTCTTACTGCAGCAGTCTGGATTCACCTGGGAGAGTCAGCACATTCTGGGTTTAACAGAGACAGAGCCAAGCTGCAGAGCCGATCACTTCTAGCTTGCATGCATGTGCAGTAGAAACCTAAATCCCTTAATGTGCAACCTCTAATGAGCAGAAAGAAACTAGCAGAATCACAAAAATCTGGGCAAAAATGCAGGAAAAACCAATTACACCCACTAACTTAATATACAAATCACCTCTAGCAGAAATAGTGATTATTTTATTCGATGTGATCTTTCTAGTCTCTCAGAGGGAAGAGGAATTACGTGGAGAATTTTTGACCCAGTTTTTCTTGCTTCAGTTCTTTGAGTTTGTAAGAACATCGTTTTGCAGAGTTCTGGTAAGGGTAGAGGTTGGAGATTTAATTGGGACAACAGAATACCTCATCAGTGATTTGTTTTTCTGGATATTCTAAAATGTTCCCATTTGTTTAGATTTATTGTCCTGCTGTACTTTGGTTCTCCACCAATAACACTTAGCAGAAGTGTAAAGTGTTGAAATCAACATGTTGTACTTGTGTTGTAATTTACCAAATCCTAATTGCACTGAAGATCATTTTTTCTGTCTTGCCAAAAGATAATCTAGTGGCAACATAACGTTCGCTGCTAACGGTTTCTTCCTGAGCTCCATATGTCACCTGATACCTGATGTTCACGGTGGCATCCTTTCCTCTGAGCGGATGCGCTCCATCCCAGTGGAGACACATTGCTGGAGTGAATCCCTTTTGATTGTGGCTGCATTTGATACACATATGGCTGCTACTAATGGAGCGGTGTTCCTGAGCCAACAGCCTGGAGAGGAACTCTGTCATTAAAGCTGCCAGTCACATATCGGCTGTCGGAGCCACTTCCAAACATTTTGTTGTCAGAGACACGCGCATTTTGTCACCACAGTTAAACTAGAATTAGACTTTTTGCTGCCAGAAGTGAAGCCAATTTAAAATTGGTCAACAACAGAAAATTAACTTTTAAAGTAAATGAAAAAAAGCAGCTAAATCAAAATGGAAATGAAGATAAAACATGAATTTAGTGGAAAAATATAGCCTGAATTTATGTTATAATTACCCTTTAAAACCTAATACTTAATAACAAACAAAAGGTGCATTTATTACCTAAAAAAGGCTGTCAGAAATTATTGATACACTGAAATATCACGATATTTCATGTTACTGAATCGATTTTTAAAGATGCGTATAGACATTTTTTGGCAATTTTCATGTAAACATTTACTGTACTTCATTTTTGTAGTGCAATTCAACTCCCGACTGCTAGGTGGCAGCAGTTTCCACCCAAAAAAATTGAATATCATAATGACACTGGATGTGTCTTGGGAGTCTAGCCTGAGTTTGTGATATCCAGATTCTTGCCTAAACACATCCCAAGCTAATATAAAAACATTACATGTCAAAGAATAATAATAAAATTGGCACTTTCCCTCTGCAGGAGTTAGCTTAGAAACAATGAATAGGTTCATCAGATTGGATCCACTTGATGTTAAAAGGTTATTCTGAAGGGTTAATTTAATAAATCTGTGATCTCTAATACCAACGAATGCCTTGTGAGACGTTTTCTGTGGAAAAAAGCTCTGGTGCTCCTGTTTCAGGAAGTAGAAGTTAGTCGAAGGAGTGTGTGGGTGGAAAACAGTAGGATTTGGAGTCTTACTCATTAATATTTGTGATGTGCAATAGCCTCTCCACTCATTGGCTAACAGCAACACAACTCTTCTGCTGCCTTTTTTTGCTCTTCTTCCTTGTTTTGTCTCCACAAATAAACCAGAACATGTTCCGCCATGTTTTGTAGCTGCTATTGTTAAGTGTTAGCTTCTACTAGCCGAGACATGCTCTGCTCTCTCCTGACTGTTAAATCAATGCAGACTTCCACGTTTGCAAGCCAAGAAAGGTGAGTCCACGAAGGCAGATTTTACTGTGATGTAGAAATGTGTTGTTTTTTGTGAGGTTAATGTAGGTGATGAGAGCAGAAGTCTATTTTCATGCTCAGTGGGCATATGCAACTCAGTGTGATTGTATTTAAAAAATAGCAAGTAGTACGTGTATCACATGACCTTTAAAGCAACAATTGATGGCACTTAACTTACACTGAGAGGGTTGGCAGAGGTCACTGTTAGAGCTGTCGTTGGACTGGCTGCTGCAAACAGACGAGAAGCTGGAGCTCCGGATGACGCCTAAAGCCACCAGCCGTGAAGCTGGAAGGGTGGAGAAACCTGGTGGACGGAGGCCTGTTTGGCCTGATTTCAGAAGGAGACTTTTGGGAGTGGTTTCTGGACCAGACCACTTCTGCTCACAGGGTCCTTGACAGAATGAATACAATATATTACTATCAGAACAGCAGCACAAAACAGATTTGTTCACACTAAAAAGAAGAATTGCACTGTTTATTTGTAGATTACAAGATTCTCTGGTTTCAAATAACTTGAGAACTGAATGTTTAATTCTTATGTAAATATGGAAAGGAGGTCACTGTGTGATCAACCCCAACAGGTTATCTCACCCATCTGATTCTGGTGACCTTTCACAGACTGACAAGATGCTGGAGATGTCTTTTGACCCATCTGCTGACCCCTTGTCTTGGCCACAGGCTGCCTGGTGACCGCCCCCAACCCCAGTTGGGGCCTAAGGGCTCTTGGTGAATGATAAACACTCCCTCCTTCTTGGGAAATTTGCTGCTGAGAAACATTTTCAACACAGCCAGTTATAGTTTTGCCCTGTTCAGTGGACTAAATCTGGAATTAAACTCTCACCTCTTGCAAGTACTTCCTGGACATCTCCTCGTGAAAGCTCTCTGACTTCCCGCTCAGCCTTTGGTGGACAGTGCCATTCGGAGGTTTCACAGCATTGCCAAGAGGATGGTATCCCACCTTCTGCACCTCCTGTCGATACTTGTCTAACAGCGGACTGGGCGAACTGAGCACCGGAGAGGATCTAGACTGCGGAACGCCTTTTGAGTCTCTGTGAGCAGGTAGGCTGGAGTACAAGGGAATTCGTGGTGGGGTTGCAGAGGCTTCCTGTTCACTTAGTGATTTTGCTTGAGCATTCTTTCGAACACACGTTATGATTTTTGGCCTGACATTTTTGGGCTTCTGGGGTGGAGAGGTTCTCCTGGGTTCCATGTCTTTCTGCTGCGGTAGGACTGGTTTGGGAATGCCACTGCTTATACTTGTCTTGTTTGGAGGCTTGGCACTTTGACTTCTGAGAGGAGAGTTGCTGCGCTCAAAACTCAGAGATCTAGTAGTTTGGACTTTACCCGTACAAGGAGGTGGATGTCTGCTGGGTGAGCAGGAGGTAGCTTTAGCAGTAGATGCAGTTCGACTTGGGCTTCCCCATGGCTTTCTGCTCTCCAGGGATGAAGACCGCGAGGTGATGTTGTTCTCAAAGGAAGCCTGCTTTTTCAAACTGTTATCAAAAGAGAGCTGCTTCTTGAAAGAGTTGTCAAAGGAAGGGAGCTTTTTGAAACTCGTGTCAAAAGAGTTTTGCTTCTTTAGAGCGTTGCCAAATGAGCCTTGCTTTCTCGTGGCATTGCATTCCTTTGATTGAGTCTCCTTTGCAGCTATTTTGGTTGACCTAATTAAATCAGGGGTTTCATCTGCTTGTGTGCTTTTATCCATTTTAGTGTTACCTTTGTCATTTGACTTTTTTGCAGAAGATAAAGCATTACAGTCAGAGTTTCCCTCTGAAAAGCTCCCAGCTTTGTTTCTCTGGTTGTTGTGCTTGTTGCTTACATCAGTGCATAGAACTCCATCGCTCGCGTGTTCCTGGGATCCAATATCCCCCGATAGAAGAGTTGAATTCAAATTCATGTCCAGATCTTTTAGGTGTGCTGTGCTTTTTCTGGCAGGGTTGGATGACTTGTCGTGCCTTTGAGAATTCTTGCATCTCTCAGAGATGGTGCTGCAACTTTGCGAAGCCAGGTCCTCTGACATGGCTGAGTGAGAGACAGGGGCAGAGTGCCAGGAGTCTGTCATTTGATTTGTGGTGGCAATGCTTGAAATGGTGGACAGACAGGTAACAAATACATCGTTTTCAGAGCTGAGCTCAGTCCTGGGTGCGTCTTGGCTCTCTGAGACAAGCGAGGCTGCTGGTTGCTGCTCAGTGGAAATATGCGGATGTGACCTTGTTCCTTCCACATTCTCATCTTCCACTTCTTGATTCGTGGTATTATTGCAAGATGAAAACTGCACCTGGATCTGCTTCCGCTCAGAAAGCCCAACAAAGTCCTCTCCCTCCTCAACCAGGTACGCCTCTAGCTCCTGACACTCCAACATCTCAAATTCGGCCAGCTCAGGATCGTCACACTGCGAGTCCGTCCCCCAGATGATGACTTTGTCTTCCTCTGCTGTCTCCGTCATTAAACCTGCCAATGAACCAGTTTTCCTGCTGTTTCCTCTCTGAATGTCATTGGCATTTGAGTCATCCTGCTGGTTATCATTCCTCAACCCTCCATCGCTGTCAGGCTCTCCTCGATCACACATAATGGAACTAGCTCTGAGTTTTCTCAGTAGTCCATGGCTTCAGATATTATGTGAATCTATTAAAGTCCTTGAGGCACAACAAAAGCATAGGTTCACTGTTTTTTCTTGAGTATACCAGGAATGGGAATTTCAAAGATCATAACTAATGTAGAGGATGGATCTTCGTTAGATTTGGTGTCAACCTGCAAAGAGTAAAATAATTAGAAATGCACAGATACCAGCAAGGTGTCTGTTTCAGTGAATCACTGGTAGTTGCTCACATTTTTAGGGCATGTACACACAGAATAGGACTTTGGAAGACCAAATATACTCCCCCGCAAATCTAGAAAAGAAACTTGGGTCCACAAAACCTCATTTTCAGCAAAGGAAATCCAGGGCATTGTAAGGCACATTCATAGGTACCCCAAGCCTGTAGGCAGCAGTAGTTCCCCAAATCTTCACAGTCTTTGTAAAAAACACTCCTAAACTAGATGGTGGCCATTAACTGTCCTCAACACTGTTCTTCGCCAGTCGTCTTCTACAGATTAGTCACAAAGCTCATAAAAACAAGATATCAGGATGTAAACAAAGTCTCACACAAGAACTGTATTCCAGTGATCTTCCACCTCTAAGCAATGAAGATGAGCAATTAATAAATCAAAATAAATAACCGAGAGAGCATCTAACATGGCTGAAGAAAAAAGTAGGACAAATCGCTCTATTGAGCTGCCTGTCATTAAAGAGCAGAGTAAAATACTAAAAACGTCATCTATACAGAAGAAAGAAAACTAACAGCTCATGATTAACCTCAGAGGGCAAAAAAAAAAGCTTTTTTCCAAATATTTCCGAAAACCAATGAAGTGTATATTATATACTTGTTATGGAAATTTTATATTTCATTACTTTAATCCTATTAACAGATCTATTAACTGAATGTCCTGAAAGCGCGCACACACACACACACACACACACACACACACACACACACACACACACACACACATTCTTGTCCTCCCACACATACGCACTCACCCTCTCTCACACACGACCCACTCCCTTTCCTCTCTTCTCTCCTTGCTTAAATAAACTCTGTGACCAGCTGTTCAGGGCATTTGCCCTGTGCACTTGCCACTAAATCATGATTTGGTTGTATGTCTGCCTCATTGCTTCTTGTCCCTTTTTTCTTCGGCTCCAGGAAATGGGTTTATTGATAAACATATTGATAAAATCCATGCCAATACTATTAGCATATTTTCATTTCTATATATGTATACATATAAATTTTAAATTCAGCTATCAGTGAAACTAATTAGTAGTGCTTTCTGCAGAAACTGTGTTTTATGCCATCTCCTGCAGTTTCCCCTGTCCATCACTAAATGCAGCAGAAGATGTTCAGACAGCTTATCACAGTTTGGTATGAAAAGCAGCATCTTGCTGCTGTCTGCTCAGAGAAGGAGGGTGGCTGTGACATAACGAGTGAATGCTGAGCTGTAGGTGAAACACAGTGTGCTGTTAGGGTTGTTTAATCCTGCGTCAGACGAGAAAAGCTGCCTCTGAGCCTCTGAGTGTCGCTCTTTTGATGATTTAGTCTGTTTTTGAACTTTTTTAAAGTTTATTTATTGTACATTTAAACCTGTCTGCACAATTAAATGGAGAAACGTGGTTGCAGGTGAACATGCATACATGTAAAAGTAAAGCAGAGATGTTTGGAGATCCCAAAAGGTCACAAGTGTTTTATTTATAGCTGCTCTGCTCTTTGTGCTGCTGAAGCGGTGGCTACGTGGTTGAAAACAAATGTTTCAATTCACCAATCAGTCATGTACACACTCATCACATTTTCACTTACATTAATATTAGATAATAGTTATATGATACAATCATTTGTTTAAAAAAGCTAGTTGTATAAACATATCCCAGTCACTTGGATGTAGCTTATACCTCACTAACAAAAAGACTAAAACAAACAAATAAACCAAAAATAAATTAAAAAAGCAAAAATCCTGAAAACATAAAATTTTTAATAAACAAACAAAGAAAATAAAAATTTCTCAGCTCATAATATTAAAGACTAAACAAAAGAAAAACAGAACCAGCAAGACAACATTTATTTCAACTAAAAAGAATGTTGTAAATTCAATGCATTGATTTTCAATTGACAAAAGTAAAAAAAGTAAAACTAACTAACTAAATAAATAAATAATTAAATGAACAAAACAAAACCAATAAGAAACAAAAACAAGCAGAACAACACAATGTATTTTTTTCCTGACTGATGGAGTCACTCTGACCTTTGTCTGGCACATTAATCAAGCCAAGGGCAAAGATAGAAAAAGTACTTTTGTTTCTGGGTGATGTCTACAGAATAATCTCGTTAGGAGAAAGCTTTGTTTTATATTCTCTTGGATGTGACGTAACTCAAAGACGAGGCGACAGAAGCACCGGTTTGATAGTATGGAAGCCCATTTCTGCCACTTATTAAAAAAATGTGTTTGTCATAATTATAAGTTATAATTATGATTAATCATGACTTATAGCTAAGTCACTAGTAAAAACAAAAAAAAAATTAGAGATATTATCAGTCTGTCATTAGTGCTGGCTGATATCGGCATCAAAATTTAATGTCAGAAAATATCGATATCTGTATATCTTTTACCAGTGATGGGAATAACTGGTAACGAGTAATATAATTAATTACCGTCTTCGTGTATCATAACGCCATTTCTGTTACCGATGAGAAAATGTGTGAATTACTCATTCAGCAGCGCAGTGTTAAAGCTGTCATCAGCTGATCGGGAGCTAAAGAGGTGGATGTTTTTATACAAGTGCATCGCGGCCCGTGAAGAATGAGGAAGACGTGATGAATAGTTACAGCTGCAGATCCACAGATTCACTGCTGCAGGCGTAAATCTGCAGCCGTGCCCTTCTTGGCGGGACAGTCCCGAAGGTCCCAGGGTAATAAATTTAAAGAGCAAGTCACCCCCATGAGAGTATTACTCCGCTCCCACTTCCTGTTTGAAAAATGCAACAAATGCTGTTGCCTAGCAGACCGAGAGGGCGGAGCCACTAACAAATACACACACACACACACACACACACACACACACACACACACACACACAACGACATTGTGACATCATATGGTACCAGCTAACGTCCTAGGGTACCTCAGCCAATAGCGATGACAGATTTAAATTCAAATGCAGTGCAGAGTTTTTACCTGACAACGGCACAACACAGACAGGTTTAGGCCGAAAATTTAAATTTTAACTAAAATGCACTAAAATGCAAAACTAGACCACACGTGTCTGCATCACGATTAGACACGCATTTATATAGTTTATCAGAAAAATAAGTAGATTTGAGGGTGACTTGCTCTTTAAGTCCTCCATCAGATGTGTGCCTCTTCTAGTGCCATTTTAAAGGATTTAATTAATTAATTAATTAATGTATTTGTTTATTTATTTATTTATTTATTAGATTACCAGCAACGGAGATGCTACTAAAAATACAGAATTATGTGACACTGGAAAAATGACATTTATTTCAGCAATTGAACTAGACTGAGAGACCATTTAAAGGCTCAGGAACCTTTACAGGTGTTTCTGTTTGCAGTTATAAACTTTAGCTGATTGGGGTCTTGTTAAATTCTTTAAAGGCACGAAGGACATTGATGAGGGCTGCCTTCTTGCCAATCGCTGATTACGGGGATGTAGTGTATAGAACAGCAGCAAAATGCCACCTTTCAACCCTGGATCCTTTATATCACAGTGCATTAAGGTTTATAACTGGAGCATCTTATCGCACACATCATTGTGAGTTATATCAAACTGCATCATTACCATCTCTGGAAAATAGGAGGGAAGCGCACTGGTTAACCCTGGTATATAAGACTATTTTACATCTAGTTCGGGCCTATTTGAGTAAGAAAATGTCAAAACACGAGTCGGGCTGTAATTTGCGATCTGAAGAGCTCTAAACTTTTGTTACACCGCACATGAGAACAGAATTAGGGAAGAAATCAGTTATTTTTAAACACGAGCTCGGTGACTCCTCTTTCACATTTCTTGAAAATGATTTGTGATCGCGTAAACACTCAGACAGAAAACTGCTTGTGTTTTACTACGGTGAGTAATTACTGATAACTTTTGTGGGCTAAAATTAATATAGATACCTTGATGGTTGTGTATTTAAGTATATTTGTTTTTGTGTCACTGTTATTGTTGTTGTCGTAGATTTTTGTAAGGGTTTCCCCTTGTTTTAATATGTAGTTGAATTTTTATTGATCTGTACTGTATGTTTCAGTATGCATATGCGGCATTCACACTGCACCTCTTGGCCAGGTCACCCTTGCAAAAGAGGCTCTAATCTCAATGGGTCTTATCTGGTTAAATAAAGGTGATGAACGAATGAATGAAAATATCACACAGCGACATTTTAATAGTCTAGATTAGTGTAATGTTCCTGTTTGTAGTTCCTCCTGTAAGTGCCCATTTATTTCAATTATTCATTTTTATAAAAAACATTTGGACATACATTTTATTATGTTCCAGTCATTACTCATTTATATTTCAATATTGTAGTAATTTTTAGTCAATTAAGTAAGTTGAACTAAGAGGGGAACCCATTTTTATGGCATTCTTTAATGAAAAAAACTAACAAAATGTTATTTTTCTTGGTAATTAGTTACTTTTATAATCTTCTAACTTGGTAAGTAACTGAGTAACATTTTTGACAAAGTAATCAGTAACTATAACTAATACTTTTTAAAAGTAATGTTCCCAACATTGTCTTTTACTGACAAAACGTTTACATACCACACACACGTTATACATCAAACTCTTCAGCTACTATTTTTAAAATACGACAGAGGTAAAGTTTTTTTTAAACATTTTTATTTATTAGGCACAACTTATGAGGTAAAATTTGTGTAGTGACAAACGACTAAAATAAAAACAAGAATCTTCACCCAAGGCTTGCTTTTCTTTTCTGAAAATCTTTATAATTGTTTTATCCACGTAACTAAAGTATACAGAAAAATACATTATTGACTAATACACACTTAGTGTCACGCTTAGGGAGAATTCAAATTCAAATTCAAAAATACTTTATTAATCCCAGAGGGAAATTGATTGCTGCAGTAGCTCAGAATAATAATAATAATCAAGTCATCAAAGAGTTGTTGTATATTACAATGGCTGTTGGCAGGAAGGATCTCCAGTAGCGGTCAGTGTTGCAGCCAAACTGAAGAAGCCTCTGACTGAAGACACTCTTCCGTTGTCGGACAGTCTTGTGAAGAGAATGCTCAGGGTTGTCCATCATTTTCTTGATTTTCTGGAGAATCCTTCTTTGCATTATCTCCTCCAGTGGTTCTGAAACTGCCTAAACTCTGGCTGAGTCCTTGAAAGGGCTGAATGAGATTCAGCTGCTGTAGACAAATTAAATATGGCACTTTTCCTGTTACTAACTTAAATTGAATTAGTGTGGCATGTGTGATAGATTTGTGATGTTAGTAACCTAAAATGCTTTAGTTTTTTTAATAAAGGGGAACCTTGCATATATTGGTATTGGTTTTCATCAAGTTAAGAGTCAGACAATTTCGGTTTGTTGGATAATTGACTTCTTTAAGTCGTAATGATTATATGATGTGTTTATTTGTTTGTTTGTTTATTTATATTAATCAGAGTGAAAGAAACTGGCTTCCATAGGTTTGGAATTCTCTTCAGGACTTAAATCTTTTTTATTGCTCTAGTCAATTTCATCACCCCTCCTCCACCCAATTCACTTCAATTTTACACGCGACCAGAAAGCCGCACGTCCTCTGGGGCTAACCGGACTTCCACGGATGCCTTTCAAGACAACAGATCCTTTTTCAGAGAGAAGATTTTTTTTCTGTCCCTTAAATTGAATCTCGACTCCAAATCAATCGAGTCCAGAGTCAAATCACGACGCAGACGGTGCAGTAAATCAGTGTTTATCAGCACGGCGGTGACAAGATGAGATTTAGTCTCTGAAGGAACCGAACATCTAAACAGCCTAAGCTGGATTCATCTAAGAGTTTAAATCAAACAAACAGAATGTCACAATAACACAAAAATGTTCTTGTTTCAAGTGAACCAAAATGGATTTATTTAGTCATTTGGAGAATTTAATATTTCTCTATCTGAGAGTCTCAGAGGGCTAAAAAATCCATAAAAAGACTTGTTTTTTAATGGATTTATACTTCAGGTTCTCCAGGAACGATGATGGAATAGAAGTGAATCAGAAACCTGTTGAAGTAGATCAGAAAAACAAATTCTAAGCATTGTTTTCAGATTTTCCATGTTTCCTAATATGAAAATAAATCTATACAATAAACATTTCACAGAACTAAATAAAAACGTTTGCTGAATATCAAAAGTTCTGCTTATTTGTCCTCTTATGGACATATTTACATCTCTAAATGATAAAGATGCACCAATCTTGTTTAAACATGCTGATTTCTCTTAGAAAACAACAAAAAGAACACATTATGATATTAATTAGTTTATTACAATAATAATTCTGGTAATTAAAACTTATTTCCACTTACGCATTCATACATTGAAGAAAATGACGGATTTCAACTAAATAATCCTGTTTAGTGATGTGTTTATGGACTGGAAAAAATACCCTTATATGTAATACATAGTTTATAGATGTATTATTAATGAATCTGTAACGCTGCATAAATCATTAAGTGTTTAAGGTAAGAAAGAAAAGAAACTGACCCATTTCTTGCAAAATAGTGAGCCAAATCTGTTCTCCCTTTCTCAACATTAATGCATAATAAATCATTATTAATGATTTATGAAGCATGAAATGTTATTAATAAAGTATCTATACATTATTTAATAGCCATTTATAAAAGCAGCCTATATATCTGAGTTTCAGATTAACCCGTTAATGAAGGTTTTTGGTGCATCTTTATTTGATGATTATAACTAACAGGACAACCTTAAACCAGGATGTTAGAAGATCGGTGAGTTTTTAAAAATGCCCTAAAATGTTTTTTCTAATTAGCATTTTCATCTTTGATCTAAAAATATGTAGTTTTTTTTAATGAAACAGTATTTCATCTGCTGTTATATAGGAAACGTATTTGTCAATAAACATCATATCATATACATATTGCAGGTGTGGAAAAACCTGAAACATCAGATGAATAAATGAAAGTAAAAATCTTCCTCTGTGAGGTTTAGTGGAACAGAGGCAATGAAACACAATCAGGGGTTTTCCACCTCTTTACCATTTAGTTTGTCTCCTTTGTCTTGCTCCTCTTTTACCTCCAGCAACAAAATAATCAGGAGATAATTGGAAAATTTCTGCTCATCCCATAAACATCCTCCCCTGAGCATCGTTCCCCATCCCCCATCGTCCCGCCACTGGACTCCTAAATTAAAAACAGGACCAACCTCCACTCACTGGGGCTTCCTGAAACCTGTGCATCCTCGCATCTGCTCCAGGACTTGATGTCTCGTGTGAGACGGTTTCAGCAGACGGCAGTCTGGAGCAGATCAACACCTTCAGTGGAGGGTTCATCTAAAATTCTCATGAAAAATTGAATAAAAAGGGAGCCTCCCTGTAATTTCTAATGCTTCAGTGGGCATGACGTCTTTGTAGGCTCTTGTTCTTGGAATGAACATCTTCCTGATCTGGATCACTGAGGCCTTTAAGATCTCTGATCTTCACCTCAGTGACATCTGAGTCACCTGTGATTTACCTGCTGTCAGTAGCGGTTTTAGGCACGGGCAGACAGGGCAGTTGCCCGGGGCGGCATTTTTTCATGACACAAAAGGGGCGCACAAGCGCGGAGTAAAAAAAAAAGGAAATCTGCGCCGCACCGAGGTTTTCTATTATCTGTCATATGACAGTGTCTGGATTGGAAACAGCAAGTTGGCGCCCCCTGCAGCTGCAGGCGCTCCTGCTGACTGAGAACGTTCACGTGCACCGTGTGTCTATGAAGAACAGGAAGGGGAGGGGTGCGGCGGGGGAATTCACCTCTGCGTCTTTCCCAAATGAAATGAGCGTGCAGGGGCTGAATCAACTGTATTAACATGGCTAAAGTCAATCACATCTTAACGTTCTTCCATATTTCATTCATAATATCATAAACACAGGCCTATCATTCTTTCAGGTTTCTCTGAATTGTGTGAAATGGCCGAATAAAAAAAGGAAAAACAAAACGATTTTGTGGTCCCCCCCCCCCCCCCCCCCCCCCCCATCAAGGTCAAATTGTTTAGTCCTGACTAAAGGAAACTTACTGAGTCAGGAGCCAAACAGAAGAGATGAACATAAAAAGGCTAAAACCACCAGGTGCCCGATTCAGGGGGAAAAAAAGAAAAAAGAGCAGAAAGATAAAGGTATGTAGCTCTCATGATGCATGTTTTCAATTTTTTGAACCAGTTAACTGGGATTTTAACGGTTAAATGCGGTCAACTAATTGCTAACAGAGCTAATAGGGCTGAAATATTTAAACGAATATTCAAATGGTTTGAAAAAAGTCCTTGAGTCGTTTTTTACTGATTCAAACTAGGATTTGTTAAATGCTCACTGCAGCCTGTGGCCTGCATGAACAACAACAAACATGTTGATCATGTTCACATAATAATAAATGAAACCACTCTACAAGCAGAAGAACACTCCCCAGTCACCACTAACTATCCTGTTTATTTATTGCAGATGGCTGCACTGATTATTTTTTACATGATTTGTTCTGTAAAAGTTGGCATTTTTGGTAGTCTACAGTTTTTTATGTCAGTTTAAATTACAATTTCAGAGGCAATTCTAAAATATTATGGATCATGAGATCTATTGGAGATCTACCCCAACTTTTGGACTGCTCTGCCAGTCACTGTGGCTCAAGCTGAGAGGAGCTTTTCAAAACTTGATCAAGTCATACCTGAGGTCACCTATGTTTCAGGGGCGGCTCACTAACCTGGCTCTGATTAGTATCAATCACTCAGTAGGGGAGCAGATTTCATGTGATGACATTATTGATGATGTTGCATCAAGGTTAGGTTTTAATTTTAGTTTGTGTTTTCTGTTCTAAGTGCAATGCTGTAGTGATTATCTTTAGTTTGTTACGTGTGAAATATTTTTGCTATTTAGAATATTTATTATCTATTATGTTCATATATTCTTAATATTTAGTTATTGTTTGTTTTTGTATATTTGATTCTATATATTTTGATACAGTATATAATGTATACTGCTTTACATTCTGACAACTTCATAGTAATTAATGTAAATATGTGCAACTTAGAAAAATGAATGTTCAATAGTCGTTCTAATAAAACATGCCTGTTTGTAGAAAACATGCGTGTGTTCATGCAGGTGGTGTGGTGGTGGTGGTGGGGGGTTGGGGGGGCGCTCAAAGGGGGCCTCGCCCGGGGAGTAATTCGATGTAGAACCGCCACTGCCTGCTGTCACTTGTCATGGTCTCCATTTTTTCTTCTAATATGATGCATTTGCTATTATATTATTAAATCCAACTCAGAAATAACATTTCACATTAAAACGTGAGGAATGTGGATGGATGAAGGAACTGTCGCTGAGGTGAGCCCACCTAGGGAGGAGGCTGTAATCAGGCTTGGATGGACGCAATATGTGCTCCTAAATAATATTTAATATTAGTTTAAAAATGTAAGAGGGCGACACATTTATTACGAAATCTGCACGCTCGTGTAAGCAGCCTCTCCGCCAGATGCAGCAGAGTCAATAAATCCTCATAATTAACTGCTGCCGAGATTCATTGCGCCTAAACACGGAAACACTTACCGGCTCTGTTCCGTGATCCCGCTGGAGAGAAGCTCCGACAGCAGGAGAAGGCAAAGAAGGAGGCATACATCCAGTTTGAGGAGGAGATGAGGAGAATTCCGTCTGCAGCAGAAGGCTGGAAAACGGGGAGGAGAAGAGGCGAGGAGCCCTGACGCCATCAAGGACGCAGGTCGCCCCCTGCTGGTGGAAAGTGGGAATGAGGTTTCTCCTCGTCAGGAAACGGGTTTATTTTTTTATGTATTATTTTTATTTAGTCTTGATTTTGGTAAAGTTAAACAATTGCATTAATTAATGCCTTCACAATAGCTGGAACATATTTTTATAAATCAAACATTACAATTATGGCATTGTGAAAAAAGTATTTTTTCTTTAGACATTAGACTTAAATGCTTCAGATCAGCAAAAAAATCTCAACAGAAAACAAATCTGAGCAAGTAAGAGAACATTTGGTTTCAATTATCAAGTGGAAAATAAATATCTGCCAAAATAAACCCAGTCCGTATAAGTCACAGACCCCTTTCTTCAATTTGAATTAACTGCGAATAAGTTCAATATTTCCAGAGTCACACTCTGGCTCGTAGTCAGACCCAGACAATAAAAAAAAAGAAAAAAAAATCACGTCTGAAACATAAAGTAGGCTAAAATATCTCAAAAACAACACATCAAACACAGAAGGAAAAAAAAAGAATCCAGAATGAATGTAAAGCAGCACAGGATAAACTTGACTCAGGTCAACATTTAAAAATATGATGCAAGTTGAGAAAAAAAAGTGGAATTATTTTGCATTTCATGTGAATTAAACCCAATATTTCAGGAAAATATATTCACCAGGCAAACATGTTGGCGTGATCTGGGGATGCTTTGCTGCTTCAGTACCTGGACCGCTTGCCGTAATGACGGATTCATGCTGACCGAAAATGTCCTGAAATTAATCGTTCATGCTGGAAAACACTCCAACGGGACTGAATTCAGACCCTTCTGCAAGAAAGAGTCTGACAAAATCCCTGACAGGTTATCACAAATGCTTGATTGCAGCTTTTGCAGTTATTAATCGGTTATTCCTTTTTCACATCGGCTTGATTGGCTCTTTTTCTATGACATAACTGCCTTATGGACCTGCTCAGGTTATCTTTGATGATCTGATACAATAAATATAACAAGAATCAGAAGATATGCACTGTTGACTGTATATTTAAGTATTATTAAATAAAAGACAAAACCTGCAGATTAATTTATTGCATCATTTATTTACAACAGTAGCTGCTAAAACACCAATCAAAGTCGACACATGCTGAATAAAAACCCGTCCTGCATGCAGCTCCTGCCCATCTGGATGCGGGGAGGTGAACACTGTAACACAGGCTGTGTGGTCAAAACACATTTAAAAAGTCACTAAACGTGTCCAAACCAACAAAAACGGCTTTTTGGTTAAACATTTCCGTGGCCGTGAACAACGAAGAGTATTTACAACAGAAACTGGTGGAACTTTAAAAAACACACACACAAAGAAATAAACAAAATACTACTTATCTAAAAAAATAGTTTATATTTTAGCTACTTCTGTGTCACTCTTGGATAAAAAGCTTCTTTTCCTGATAAAAACGGATACAAAACATTCAGATCTCAGCTGCCGTGTGGGTCGTGTTTCTAGCGGGGGTTCCTGGTCTGAGCCGGAAAAAGGCTAAAGAATTAAAAAAAACACTGAAGCGGAAAATTTTAAATGACACGAAGGTAGCTTTTTTCATCTATGATATAATTTACATGCAAAAAAAACCCCCACAATAACACACAGTTGTCTTATAGTATATTACAAAAGTGACAAATATTACAGGTGAAAATAAGCCTTCTGAAGGAAAACACTTAAAGTTAGCAGCTCATTTTATTCCCAGATATAAAATTAGAGACAAAACTGACGTTCTTTGGTTGGTAAATTTGTGTTTTCACTGAAAAATTAAGCGTCTCCCCATCCGTACACAGAACGGGTACCTCGTATACCTCAGCAGCACAGTGGGTTTGTGAGCCACATTATCACCAGAATCATAATTAATATTGCATAAAACACTCAGAGTTGTGCTTTCCATCAGTAACCAAGTAAAAGTTTAAAACCACAAAAGCTGCAATAACTGAAACACTTCTTCGTTCAAAAACTGTTTCACTCTTTCAACAATCAGAAGAAACAAAGGAGGCTTGTTGCTAATTAAAGGAAAGTGAAGCTCACGGACCAGAACTAGGGATGCACCGACACCACGCTCGTCCATTGTTAGTATGAGTACTTACAGCCGAGTACTGTAGTTTATCCTCTATAAGCTAAAAACGTACATTATTCTGTCATTTTTATTCGATCTAAATGCTGAGCTGCATCCTACCGGACGTGTCTCAAACAGGAAGTTTGAGCTACTCTGGAAAGTTGACAATCTCTTGGACTAAAATGTTATTTTTCAAATTTCTTTTCGTAGATTTGATTTGGACTTGGTGCAAAATAACAAGAACTGAGTACAATCTCCGACACCAAACGTCTCAGCTGCTCCTTGAGGGAAACGACTACGATAAAATGCCTCGGTGTAGAATGTTTTTTTTGTGGTTATTATAGGACTTAACAGCTTGCCATCCTTGCAGCACCTGTGGATCAATCGTTTCCTCGACTACAGTCAAATAGTTGGTTTTGAAGCCGTCGTTCCTGCTGTTTGATGCAAAGCTATCCAAGGCTCTTTTGTTATTGTAGCACAACGCGGCTAAATAAAACGTGCAGACACTTTAAAACAAATATTTCAGGTGTAGCCAAGCCAAACCTGTAAACACTTCCATGTACTGCTTTCCAATACTTTTACTTTATCTTCTTTACAGTTTGCTGCTGTTGTCCGCTGCTGTAACTTAACCAAAAAGTGAGGTGTTATTGGAACGCGTTTACGAGTACACGGCCACGAAATCGGACCGACACTCGATGTTTCTATCGGTACCGGGACCAGAAAAGGACCTCTGGTTTCCTCATAGATCTTCACCGTCTGCGGTGGAGTTCTGGATGTCGTGTAGGAACGCCTCCTTCTCCGTGGTCATGGGCTCCTCTTTGATGGAGGTGTCCAAACTGGTCGTAGCTGCCTCCGCGCTGTTGCGAATCCCGTAACCAAAGTAGATGAAGAAACCTGAAGTTTGTGAAAAAGAATTAATTAAAAGATTTTTTCACGGTTAAGAGAAACTGAGATCAGACTTGGGCAACAGAATCAGGAAGTTGAACCAAAACAACGCCCCCTTGTGGCTTGTTACTAGGGCTGGGACTTTATTAAAAATTTTAATCTAATTAATTAGAGGCTTTGTAATTAATCTAAATTAATCGCATTTTAATTGTTCAGGAAAATGTGCTCTCAAAGCAAAACTTTTAATTAAAATTATGAGACAGAGAATCAAACATTAGACATGGTTATTACTGTAAACTAAATCTTTTAATAAAATAATGCATTTTAATTATTCAAATGTCACTGTGTGATATGAAACAAAACCCAAATCAACTAAAACTGATAATTACTAATAGAAAACACCTGCAAAGGGTCCCTGAGCCTTTAAATAGTCTCTCTGTCTAGTTGAATGACTGAAATAAATTTGACTTTGCACCAGATTCTAATTTTTCCAGTTTCACTTGTTTGTATAATTGGGAGTTTTTAATAGCATTTCTACTCATAATGTAGTAAAAACACATAAATAATAATCCTTCAAAATGACAGTAGAACAGGCACAAATATGATCTAGGACTTAAAATGTACTAACTTTTAACACCAGAGCAGGCATGGCATATTCTGGGAATGATCAGGAACACTAACTGGTTCCAGTTGGATGACTGGAGGATGATGGGATGATAAAAGATCATGGCGAGGAAATAATGATCTGACGAACAGGTGAGCGGACCTTCCTTACATGGGAAGTGCTGATGTCACGTTAAGAAGGGGATGCTGCAGACCCGCAGATTCACGCCTGCTGCAGCGAATCTGGTGTGATCTCCAGCCTGATCACAACTTCCTCGTTCCTCGCTGCCCCTGATGCACTTGAGCATCCGTCCCTTAGCTGATGACAGCTTCAACACACCTCGCTGCTTAATGATAGTAATGCATGCGATGATGTTTAAACAGTGACTCGTCTAAGAAACATTTAATTCCCCGGCAGAATTGTTTAGAAAATCATCAGAAAAGTTTCAGAGTCTTTCTGTTTTAACTTAAACTTCTGTTTTCAACTTTAAGACACGTTGTCTGTGATTGTTTACAGAGTAGTGAGAACACTTCGTGTTCTCCCAGCGTCAGCCAGGTGCCTCTCGTTTGTCTGACTACTTTCATAAACCACTGTTAGGGCACAGAATTATTCTGTCTGGTGCTTTCAGCGCTGCACAGATGTTACGTAAATGTTAAAAATATAGCTTACCGCAACTTTTGTAAAGTTCCCGTTGCCACCGGGCAGCCGCAGCAGAGACGATCTCTGAAAAATGTCCGCGACACGGACTCCGTTGTTGTCTGGAAGTTTTTCTTTTCCAGGTTAAGAAAAGAGGCGGAAGGGTTTCCTAAATCCTGCATCAGTCCAAGCAAGGCAACTTCTTTCTGTTTTGATTCTGTTTTAGTGCCATTAGCACTGTGCATTGTTGTGTGTGTCAGTGATATTCGGTCTACGAGGAAATCGTGCAATGGCAAAGGTTCCGCCGTGCTCGAAATGCGATTAAATGCGTGAATTTTTTTTAACGCGTCATTTCTTTCTAATTAATTAATCATAATTAACGCGTTAAAGTCCCGGCCCTACTTGTTACGTTTAAGTCTCAGTCATCATCACACACCGGTGAAATTACACATCTGACCCATCCCCGTGGGGTGCGGTGAGCTGCAGCAGCGGCTGAGCCTTTAGTGTGACCCGACCTGGGATTTGAACCCCGATCTCCCAGTCCCAGGGCGGACACTTGTGTTGGTATAAAAGTTTTAAGCTCCACCCCTCCCACCGCCAGTGTGCGTGTATGGGAGGATGATTGCGTCACAGTGGTGTGAAGCGCTTTGGAGTCCGCTGACTCAGAAAAGCACCAAACGTTCATTGTTTATCCACATAAACAAACAGGACAACCGTGCTTCCAATACAGGTGCTCCGGGAAATTTCTGACACGAATATGACAGGAAAAAAAAGAAGACTTGGTCCTCTCCGTCAGTGTTGTAAAGCACCTTGGGGGGTTCTAGGACTCTAGAAGGCGCTATATCAAATACAGGCCATTTACCATTTAATCTCATCCTCTCCATACAAAATTGGCTCTTTCAGGAATTTGATAAGAGTAACATTTTAAATGTTCATTGTTGCTGCAATTATTTAGATTTCTTTAAACATTTAGATACAATATTGCGGCTGCACAGTGATGCAGTGGTTAGAGCTGTTGCCTTGCAGCAAGAAGGTCCTGGGTTCGCTTCTCGGCCTGGGATCTTTCTGCATAGAGTTTGCATGTTCTCCCTGTGCATGCGTGGGTTCTCTCCGGGTACTCCGGCTTCCTCCCACAGTCCAAAAACATGACTGTTAGGTTGATCGGTCTGTCTAAATTGTCCTTAGGTGTGTGTGTGTGTAAGATTGTTTGTCCTGTGTGTCTCTGAGTTGCCCTGCGATGAACTGGCTCTCTGTCCAGGGTGTACTACCCCGCCTGATTGCCCAAAGACCGCTGGAGATAGGCACCAGCCCCAGCCCCAGCCCCAGCCATCCCCCCCCGACCCCACGTGGACAAAGCAGGCTCAGACATTGGATGGATGGATACAATATTGCAGTTTCCTAAAGGAAACTATAAAACTATAAAAACTCTACAACCTGCGTCCCATAGAGGCATATATAACAAAGATAAATAAATAACAACAGAAGAAGACAGAGAGGCCCCTTCTGATGACCAACGTTACCTAGAATCATCCAGACACCGAAGCGCATCCAGGTTCCTTTATCGAGCTGCATCATCAGGTAAACGTTGACAAACATGCTGATGATGGGAATGAAAGGTAGCAAAGGAACCTGTGGACAGATTATACATTAGAACTGTATAAAAAGAAACACGGATGTTTGATATCGGCTTTTTTTCCCACCGACATCCTGATATGGTCTAACTCTTAATTTCTGACACAAATACCAACTGATGCCAACATGCACGGGAAAATGTATTCATTTTAATTCAACTTTAAAGGTATGGAGGAGGATCGTTTTCTTCCGGGTGGATCATCTGAACCATTAGTCTGCATAACTGTCAATCATTCTGGTGAGGCTTTCACACAACGCCATCGTCGTCCGAGCTCGTTCCTGGGTTCGTTTTCACTTCCTGCTCATTCTGTTTCTGTGTAGAGCGATTCGCCTTTGTCTAATATTCATCTAATAAAATCAGACATCCCTAAAATTAAATATTAAATGATATCTAAGTACAGTAGGTAAATAAAAGCAGGAAAATCAGTGATAATTATAAACAAAAACCACAAAAAAGGTAAATGAACCTTGTATTTTGGAACCTAAATACTCTCAGATGACTTATACAGAGGTCTGAGAAGTGTTATTTTGGTTCTTAGTTTTATGGAGTTTTAGTCTTTAATGATTAAATTAAGTCACAAATGAACTCTGAGCTACTGGAGTGAGTTTCATCTCACCTCGCAGCTTGCACAGGTTTTGCTCAGCAAAACAATAATCATCTTTTTTTACTTTGATAATCACTGAATTGTATAATTAATGCATTTATTGATACTGAACTGTGCACCATTCAACAGATTTCCACAAAAGAAACGTGATTAAATGTGTTAAAAAGCGTCATTTCATCCATTTGTCTTCCCAAAAGCGGGACTTTTTCAGGAGGCACACAGATAAGAAACGTGTTGACATCATCAATATATTTATAAGTAGCTTTTTCACTTATATTTCTAATCGTTCACCTGCTCAATAAGCAATAAGCTGCGTTGAGCGATACACGTTCCCACGACAGAGATGCTCTCTTCTCAGTTTGTCAGTAATTCAGCTTCACATTTAACGTTTGGAAAGGTTGGCTGACGGGAATTTCACAGCTTTCTAAATGACTCCGCTCTCCTAACAGCAGCTCCACTAAGCAGCGGCCAAACACAAAGAGACTGTTTGTAATAAAAGCCTTCAAAAGCAGAGATAACACACAACATTAGAGATAAACTAACAGAGTTAGACACCATTCTAACCGCGCATCGAACAAATCCTCAGCTGAGGTGCAACTTTACGCTTTAATCAATCTCACAGACCCAAAAGCCCAACTTTATCAAAGATCTTAACGGGGCAACAAACATTATAGAAAAAGGCGTTCTACACGGATAAAAGTGCCCGCTGTGATGGGTTGCACTTGTTACAGGACATTAAAAGTTGAGTTTTTAGTAACGTTTCTTTTCCATTTAAAAACTTTTTTAGTACATCCTGACATAAACAACATCTATCTGGCTCTAAACAAGTGCTAAAGTGGTGTGTGTGCACACTCACCTTGAAGGCAAGCTTGGCTCTGCTCTGCGGCTGTCTGGATATTATGAAAGTCAGGATCAGAGAGGCCACAAAGAGAACGCCGAGCACAGACACCGACCAGGATGCAGTTCCACCTTTAACAGCTACGACACTGAAAACACACACCAGAACACCTGGAGGGGGGGGGGGGGGGGGGGGGGGGGGGGGGGGATGATCACAGATTACGATCTTTAGTTCTTTCTTCTCCACAGTGCTACGTGTGATGCTCACCAAGTATGCTGGTGCAGACGTTGACCACACGGCCAGTAAGAGGAGACGGCTCGCTGACTGGAGGAATAATCAGATTTCTGATGTTTAACTCTTCCTCTGACTGGGGTAAGATGTCTGAAATGCCCTCGCTGTAGGACTCGGTGTTGTCGGGTTCGTCCTGGGTGTTGGCCATCTCATAGGCAACGCTCAGCTGCTCAGGCTGGTACCTTTAGGAACCAAAACTTTCAAACATGCACACAGAAACAGCAGATGCTCCTAACGTTTTAGATTCCTAAGGACTACCTGAGCACCAGCACACAGGCGGCAACCAGGGTGTAGGCCAGCAAAGTGCCGATGGACATCAGGTCAACCAGGTCCTTCAGGTCAAGCAGGAAGGCCATCACGGCTGCGGGAAACAACATTAATGAGGAGTGGAGATGTGTACTTAAAGCCACGTGTGATGGCCACCCGTCTCCATCCATCCACAAGGGGGCACTGTTGCATTTGGCTTCATTTAAGCAACATAAATCCAGACCACCAAGGCGGAGGATGTGTGTTCCCCTCTCTGATACAGACCTTCAGGAGTCATAATGCACGTCAGCAAAAAGAATTGGGGAAGGATGAAGAAGTAGGAGGAGGAGGAATGTTCTGGATCCTCACAACAGTTTTCACTCCTAAATCCTGACTGTCAAGATGCTAGAGTCAGCTTTTTAAACTGCGGTGGCTGATTAGTGCAAAACACAATCACTTTTCAAAAAATCAATTTACATAGAAAACACACTCATAAAGTAAAAAAAAAAGACATTTGATAAATTTAATACTTTAGGAAACACCTTTATAATTATTTTATTTTATTTAAGTGTCAAACACAAATGTACACCCCGAAACGCCTTGGGCTTCCTGACAGGGTTGCGGAAGGCGCTTTATAAATAAAGCTTTGATTGATTGATTGATTGAAACGAAACCAGAAAAAACAGTAATGAAAAGGGAATGTCCTCAACTTCCTCAAACACTTCATTAATCCCGTTCTGAGAAGTTGTTTTCCTCGAAGACCATCGTTGGTTTTTGGTCTGTTAAAGGCCCCGTTCACTGAGAAACCGTTGTTCTTTTTAAAGTTCCATCAGTCACTCGGAGTTGCACGAGGACGCTCTACGTGAACGTTTTCTTCAAGCCCCTTCACCAGAAAGAGCTGCAGAAAAGAAACGGACTGGAAAAGAAGTCTGCCCCTTCTACGTCACAGCGTTATTTAGTTTTTATGGCCCCGCCCCCAAGAGCTGAGTGCATCTCAGCGAATAAAAGCTAACATTAGCATTAGCAACTGCACCACATAGCAGAACTCATCAGACTTGTGTTATTTGTGGAGATAAAAACACCAAAGTTGCATTTTTTACCCTAGAAAGAAGAGCAATGGACAAGTCACAATTTAGTTGGCCAATCAGAGGCGAGACGTTTGCATATCATGAATATTAATGAGTAAGACTTCACATCCTGTCATTTTCCACCCCTAGTCCTCCGACTACCTTCTACTTCCTGAAACAGGAGCGCCAGAGCTTTTTTCTACAGACAACAAGTCAGAGGGCATTCGTTCCTACTAGAGACCAGAGCAGATTATTGAAATAATGAGAGAAGTAGATATTTAGTGTGTTTTTTTAAATGTGTTTTGCACTTCCCAGCAACCGTAGTTAAAGTTAAAAAAAACCTGAAGCCATGACGGTCGGATTTTATGCTCCTTCACACATCTGGTGTGCCGAGAGTTCTGATAGATCCTGATAGGAAGCCTGGTCTGTTAGTGGGTTTTAGTTTCGGGGCCTCACCTGCAACTACGCCTGATGTTACTGTAGCTATCAGGGGGGTTTTGGTCCGTGAGCTAATTTTAGCCAAACACTTGAAGAGCAGCCCGTCTTCCGCCATGGCCCAGATCACCCTCGGCATCGGGAACATGGAGCCCAGTAAACTGGAGGAGGGCGGGGGGATCATCCCAATGAGGTGGAACGAACACACACACACACACACACAAATGCTTATGTCAAAAAGTGAAGTTAGACTGAACTGAATCATTAAAAAAAACATTTCCAGAGGAAGGAGAAAGCTCTCTAAATGTTTTTGTTATAATAAAACTTGCACATCTTTATTTGTTGAAACTTTTAATCTGACAAGTAAAACACATCATGATTTTTGCCACGTGCTCCATTCTTTAACTCATCTAGCTCAGCTACCAGATAAACGAAGCGTTTCGGGTGTGAATTATTCATGTTAAAGATTCCCGCTGAACAAAAACACGTCCTCGGTGACTTCTTGTGCTGAGAGGCGGCTGGAGACCCACTTACCTCGTCGACAAAGCACATAAAGAGCCAATGGCCACCGCATAAGTGGCTCCCTTCCAGCCCACATAATTAAAGGCTACTGGGAGAGGGCTGCTCTTGTCCAGCATGTAGTACGGCATCATCACTGTGAGAGCCGCCGATACGCCAAAGTACGCCACAAAACAGATGAGGAGAGAGGCCACGATGCCGATAGGAATGGCCCTCTGGGGGTTCTTCACCTCCTCGCCTTAAGTGAACAGAACAAAACTGAATGTGAGATGAGCTGAAAGTGTAATGCACGGTATTACTTTCACGTAGTCCCCCTCACCTGTAGTAGCGATGCAGTCAAACCCTACGAAGGCGTAAAAGCAGGTGGCTGCGCCTGAGAGGACTCCAGTCCAGCCAAAAGGCATGAAACCGCCGTCACCAAGACGCTCCTTTTTATTCAAGTCATACGACACGCTGAAAGGAAAACCAAACAATGCTTGAATACTCGATAATCAACTTGAACAGAGAATACGTTTTAGAAGACCGATCCCTACTTGAGGCTGGAGTTTCCCGTGGTGTTGAAGACCTCTTTGGGGTCCAGATACCAGTTACTAAGGTTCCCTTTAACCAATCCAGCGATGACCACGAACAGCAGCACCAGTACGTTGATGCAAGTGAACACTTTGTTAACCAAGGCCGATTCTTTCACCCCAAACGCAAGAAGTCCTGTAAACCAGACAATCTTTCTATCAAATCATTAATAATCATTAAAACAGACAAAGCTGCCATGCTCCAGACCTGTCAGACTGAGAATGATGACGACAGCAAAGACGTCCGGATACTCCGCCAGGATTCCCGGTGCGTTCATGGTCATGTACTGTTTGAAAGAAGTTCTCTATGTGCTTCCCGATCAGCTCATCAAAGGTCGCGCTCCACGCCCGAGCCACGCTCGAAGTCCCTGAACAAAGAAAAGTCCTCACGTTGAAACCCAGTGGAGATTAGCGTCTAACTCGTCTCCTGGTCGGATTCTCACCAATAACGTAGGAGAGGATCAGGTTCCAGCCTGTGATGAACGCCCACAGTTCTCCGACTGTCACGTAGCTGTACAGGTAAGCCGAGCCCGTCCTGGGGACGCGTGCTCCAAACTCGGCGTAGCACAGGCCGGCCAACACTGATGCCATGGCGGCGATGAGAAACGAGAGGACAATGGCGGGTCCGGAGGTGTCGCGGGCGACGGCACCGGCAAGCACGTAGACACCGGCGCCTAGCGTGCTGCCGACGCCCAGAGCCACCAGGTCGAACGTGTTGAGGCATCGTGCCAACCGGGACTCCTCCGCGCTGCAGTCCACCACCTTCACCCGCAGGAGCTGCTTCCCAAATTCTTTTAATGCTGCCAGAATCATCGTCCCTCGTAGTCCGAACCAAAGGTTCGAAAATAAACATAAAACCTGTTAAAAAGCGAGAAAAGGTGTTAGGATTACAAATTAGGGTTATTTTCATTTCACTGAGTTACATTTATCATCATGAGAGGAACCAATGTGTAATTTAACTTCATGAATACCCACTAATAAAGTAATTAGGTCAGACAAAAGACTTTGATCATTTATTAGAGATAAAAAATTTTAGAAAGTGGAATTTTCGTTTTTCATGTCAAAAATATAAATAAAACAGGGAACGCTATAGAAGTACTCACATCTGCAGCACAGAACAACACAGAGACCTCAGTCTTCAGTGATTGACTCAGTTTTTCTGTTTTAGCCTATAACCCCCCCCCCCCCCCCCCCCCCCCCCATCCTCCTTCTGTAGGGAATAAAGGATCCGATTCATTTAGACGAGCAGCAACAAGACGTGCCGTAGTTTGATCTGACATGTGACTGATGCCTTTGTGTACAAAGGATTCTACCATTTGGTTCACAAATAGAACTGTGACATCACATGACCTCAGAGGCAGCTGCGCCCCCACCCCCAACACACACGCACGCACGCACACACACACACTTAAAATATCCTTGTCATGTAAATCTTTGCATGAGATTTAATAAATTCCCACAAAAGATGAAATGTGAATATTTTCCACAGGGACAAAGACCTAAACTTTTTTTTAACCACACAGAAAATATTTGTGGGATGAACGAACTTCAGTCGCAGCTTAAAACAGTTCTGAGCTGTGTGTGGAGGTCAAGATGACCTGACCTGACGAGCGTGTGCCAAAAAAACAAGTGGAAATGCAAAGGAACATTTTTCACCATCGATTAAAGGTTGAAATGAAACTGTGATACGAAGGGGACGTGTCCTCATATGATCAGACAAAAAGGAAGTGATTAACAGCCGGGAGGCTCTGCTGCAAAATGGGCATGATGTGGCAGGCCGAGGGTGGGCAGGAAGGGGCCCTGCCCTCCTCTCGGCCAATCACAGGGCATAACACACTCATGAATCACCAGAGGTGTGTGGGTAAATTTGGAACGGCAGTAAGTCATGTTCTCACAATACTAATAAACTAAACACACACTAACCGTGATAGAAAAACATTTTACTCAAACACTCTTCTGCCTGCAGTAGATGAACAGTTCAAAGAAACCGGCTATATGAACCAAAGGCTAATCTGAATGAGGCTAGCTAGAAGGTGTTTTTGCGGTATTAAAACAACTTTACATGTACAAAACTATAGTGTGTGTTTAAAATTTTAAAGTTAATTCAGAATGCTTAAATTTGACTATCTGACCCTGTTCCATGACATAAGTTCATCTTTCCTAATTTATATTTCCCCTAAGTCCTTTCCCTGGCCCAGTTAAACCAATTATTTAAACAAGCCTAAAGTGGTGACCAATAGAGTTGCGTTTACGCATGAGGAAGTTGTCGATCAATGAGAATGCAACCCATTTCCCAGCATGCACTACGGGGTGACACATTAGCTTAGCACGCCAACCCTAGCTTCAGTGCTAACCTGATCTCAAGGGGCAAACTCCACCTGCAGAAAGTGAAGCAAACACGGAACTGACCAAAACTGCAGTTCCCCCCTCAACCACTAGGGGCTGGCTCTAGAAAGGAGCAGGTTCTCATTGACTCCCATGTTAAAAATGCCAACTTCACAGCAGAAATAAACATGTTTACAGCCTGGACAACAAAAACATTTTAGGTTTAATAGATCAAGTTTGCCATCATGACAACTCTGAGGGGGTGAATTTTTTCATCAGGTAGAAAGTATGTATAATCAGAGTGGCCTGCTTTTGATTGACATGTAGCAGATGTGCCAGCAGTACTAGAGCTAGCAGTTTTCCCTCCTGCTTGTTCTAGAGAAGGCCTCAGCCTCTGTCTCACATTAAAAACCTAGAAAACAGAAGGCAGCAGATTCACTGAACTGCTGTCTTCTGGCTAAAAGTGCCCGCCAACATCTGTTAGCTCAGTTAGCTCATAGCTACATCATCGCAGAGGTTCTTTTAGTCAGTCATCCTCACAGCTCTGCTTTCAGCTCTATTTTTGTTTTTTTTGCTGGAGCATAAAGGGACGTAACGTAGTCAAGATGGTGGTGGGAGGCACCCATTGAGCTTCAATTCTGCTCTTCAGAAACATCAGACGGCAATGCAAAGGGTTTGTCCATTATTTCTACAGTAAATGCTTCACCTGCGTTGAATTAATGTCAGTCAGAAAACGTATACCTAACTGTAGAAAAAGAGGGAGGTAAATGTAAAAGGGATTCGTCTTTTGGGTGCCGGAGCTAAATTATTAGCATAGCGTTTAACCATATGCTACACCTAAATGTGGTTTTGCAGTCATAGCGTTAACAGGGGTGTGCTGCGTGAGAGCATGCACAAGAGGGGGACTTGCCTTGTTTGCGTGAGAAATTGGGGGTGTGGCGTGAGAGCGTGTGAAGGCAGTAAGATGCAAGTGTCTCACACTCAATGTGTGAGAGTTGGTAGGCCTGGTGCTAGCATCACAAGTGCCGGTTTCCTGATGGTTTTAGATGTTACCCTGATTGAACACGAGTGATTAGCAGCTCCTGCAGAACCCAATAAAGGCTGAGGATATAAATCAGGCTTGTCTGAGCAGGAATATATTGAAAACTTTTTTCCTCCTTTAGCGCTGCTGGTAGGCGATGTGGCTTTTAGTTCCTCCCAGAGGGAGCAGGGATGACAGCTAGCCGTTCAGATTTCCAAATCACCTCCTTTCCTTGATTACGTCAAAGACCAGAGCTTTAAGGAAATTACAAAAAGGACTGGAATTTTGGAATATCCATGAAATGTGACTTATAACTACAAAAATGTTATAGAAAAGCATGAGGATGGGTACCGAATTCGGTACTTTTTAAGGTACCGACCGAATTCCACAGTACCGACCGAGCACCGATTCACTTCATTTGAAACGGTGCCTCGTTTCAGTACCCGTCCAACGAGAACTTGCCTAGACAGCTGCGCATGCGCAAGAGCGTTATGTCATCGGTCGCTGCGAGCCAGTCGTAAACAGAGCAGCATGGTAGAAAGAACGAAAGCTAAATCTTGCGTCCACTTCACTAAATGTGATGGGTAACTGGGTGATGATAAAACCAGCGACAACGATCTAAGTGAGACATCCTCATCTTAATCTGCTCTGGTAGGTAAATACAATGTTTAAGATAACGTTAGCTTGATTTGTTAGCTTCCGTTTCACTAATGGTGCGTTCGCTTTCTCCTCGGAACTCCGAAACTCCGACTAGAAGAACATGAACGCGCTCTGAAGTTTGGCTTCACTTTACTAAATGCGACAGGTGATTGGGTGAAGATGAAACCAGTGACAATGATTTAAGTGTGAGGCATCATCGTTTAAATCTGCTCCAGCAGTTAAATAAACTGTTTAAGATAACGTTAGCTTGATATGTTAGCTTCCTATGCCACCATTGTTATCATCTAATGGTGCGCTCGCTTTCTCCTCGGAAATTCTAACTTCCCAGTAGGAAAAATCAATTGAAAAAGGATGGTAAAAGGAATGAAGATACACAGTAAATTTAGTTCATAGTAAAGATGTTTGCTTCAGTTTAATTATCAACTTATAAAACTACAAGGACGATGTTAAAATACAGTTGTATGTTATTTATCGTGATATTTATCAAATATGGTTATATATTGAGAAAAATATATATTTAATTATAAAAGAGAATTACAAATATTAAACACTCAAAAGTATCGAAAATTGGTACCGTTAAGTACCGGTGTCGATTCGTAGGTACCGGGAATTAGTACCGGATCGGTTCAAATGTCAAAGGTACCCATCCCTAAGCATGACGTTTAGTGAAATATTCGTATGTGCCCCCTGATTGGCTGTTAGAATGTTTGTTTGCCTTTTCTACAAATTGAGGTTATTCAAAAATTTATATCAAGAGAGATATTAACTGATGATAAACAATATGATGACACATCTTTAGAAACACACGTCTTCAGATTTGAACTTCAAACTTTTGGTGGACTGACAAATATTTGCTGCATTAGAAATGCCGTTTTCATCACATTTAACACACACAAAACCAGCCCTTTCTATATAAACACATTCAAGAGCAAATCACCCCCTATAGTCTTTACTCCCATTTCCTGTTTGAAAAATGCCTGGCAGACTGAGGGCGAAGCCTCCAACAAATACACACAACAGCATTGTGACATCATATGTACGAGTAGGGCTGGGCAATAAAACGGAAATTTATTGTTATAGAAATTTCTGATTCTTATTGTGATCATTTTTCCCATGTCAGTAAATTTGATCATAAAAAATTTAAAAGATATGTGTAGGTTGGCAACATTCAAGTCCCTTTAAGAAGCTGTACCGCCTTGAGTCACGTAAAAATGTGACTCAACGTAACACACGTGGCAGCCCCATCTAGTGGACAACTTTAGTTTCTGCGCATACCTGTAGTTATCGTCCACTTATCGAGGTGAAATCCTAAATATATTGTGATATTGATTTTAGGCCATATCACCCAGCCCTAAGTACCAGCTAACATCATAGGGTACTTCTTAGCCAATAGCGATGCAGATTTGAATTCTAATGTAGTGCAAAGTTTTTACCTGAAGAGAGCGCAACACTGACAGTTTTAGGCAGAATATTTAAATTTGAACTAAGATGAAGTAAAGTGTCAGATTATTGACTACACATGTCAACAGCTCGATTAGACATTTATAGTTTATCAGCAAAAAAAGTTGATTTCGGGGTGACTTGCTCTCTAACAAAAGATTGAAAATTGACTTTCAATTTTCCATCTATACTTAATAAAACCGCACACTCACTTCAATTACAGCTTTCTTTGGCCCAAATTATAAGGAGAAGAAACCATTTTTGAAGATCATAAAGCTCTCGATGTACAAAAAACTTTTCTTGATGGAAGAGTGGGAAAACAAAAATCATAAAACATAAAACTTAATGGAAATAAACAACCATGGTAATCATTATTCTTCAGCTAAACCCTCTACACTGGAATTCAACTTCC